CCTGCCGGCCCCAGTTTGGAGGGGTTGAAAACACGACTGCAGGGCAAAACATAAGACGCCAAGATATGCCACTGACAGACATGGATATATGTATGTATGTATATATATATATATAAATATGCACATATATACGTGTATGGGACAAGACCCACACAACATGAAACAATATTTGAGTAATACATAGCAAAGCTCAAGTGTGGCTTACCCGTCAACCATTCCTGCTGTTCCAACCTTCGTCTCAAAGGTTACAATGGGCACGCGGGCGTGGCGGATGATGTTCTGGCCGGGCACTTTGAGAGCAGGAGATGAAGTACCGGGCACTGCTGTGAGGCCAACGGGCACAAATTGGGTTTCACAAGCCAAATTCAGAATATACATTACCGCAATTCAACATCATGTTGACATGAACCAACTAGAGGAGAGGCCAACTATAAATGATAGGAATAGAACCATATATCGGAGCCAACCAAGAAAAACTACTTACCAAACTACCCAGCTTCCCAGCTTTCCCTAGCTTGCATCCCAAATGGAAAATCATGTTTCGTGAGGGGCTCCGATTTGCCTGACTAATATTCATAGAACCACAACCTGGAAGGTGTAGAGAGCTTTCAGAGCATGACGCGATGCAACGAAACACTAGAGGGGTTTGAATGGAAGGAACCATCCTGCATATGTATCGGTCAGGAAGACTAAGTCTTCTGAAAATCTATCTGAAACCCCTGTACATGGATAATTATCCAAGATGAATTCACGACAATCCAACATCTGGAACTCGTCCATGAATCCCCAAAATGGGGCGTGGCCAATGATCAGTTACAAGTACAACTGGAATATACCCGCAGCTGCCCAAGAATTCTATCCCTGTACGTTACCCAAGTGGGATGATATCCTCTCCACAAGTGGCTATGGCTCCCATATGGCTCCCATATGGCTCCCAAATACCAAAAAAAATACAAACCACAACAAAACACCCTTTCTGTCTGACTCTTGATGGCCCGAGTTGGCGCAGCAAAGAATCACACAACTCTCTTGTAAACTTTGTAAACTGCACTTGGACTTAGCAGACCCCCAAAAAAACACCAAGCCTTCACATTGAAACCAGATTGCCGTTGTAGCCACCTGCCAGGTGGTCCCGTCACAATTAGGAAGCGCTACAGTACGGGCAGAGGCCAATTTACGTAGAGATGGGCAAGCATCAGGACCACGGCAACTTGAGTTGAACATAGTTGGCAAATGTTAACAGCGGACTGGAAAAACATGAGAGCACTTATAGCATAGACACCACGAAGTACAATTTTAACTACCAAATTACCCTGCAAACCCATCTTTTTGGCTTCATGTCGCTCCTATATAGGGGTTCACCAACCCTAACACGGAATAGCTCATCATTTGCAACAAGCAAGATGGTCCCAAAGTCATCGTTGAAATCGTGCTGGCGGCCATTCAAAACTTATCCCTGTAACTCCGAAATGGTCGCGCATTTATATTTTGACGCGTGTATGTATACCCATCTTAGATTAGCCGGGTATCCACATGCTTCCAGTTTTGTGCACACCCTCCTAGTCATATCCCCAAATTTGGGACCTTCACTTCAAAGAGCAAGAGAACATCACTGAAAAACTGTGTTATGTTGCGCATCGGGATGCATGGCAACGGCAATGTCCAAGAACGCAGTCTAATTCTTCAGTATGTGCCCGGTGGCAGCAACCTACCAAAACAGCAATCCCCAAAAAGTCTGGGTGTACAATTTGTTTTTCATGTTTTTCCGACCTAATACAGCTTGAAACCATCTGACCATATTTCTGTTCCTCAGTGCAACTGGTTCCACCTGCCCAGGTGGTCGATGGTGGGCATGACCAAGTTGGTTCGCACGTCTTTTTCCTGCGCGGGAACCATTTCAATCGCAGAAGAAGCAAACAGAAATCCTCAAGATGGTGGTTAGGGAGTGGGGAAATTAAACAACCATGGTAACGCAATGATGGCTTTTGATTGGGTGTATACCCGCCAGGCAAAGACTTTACGGAAACTGCTCTCGTGATTGTGGACTTTGCGGGCGATGTCTATCTTGTCTAAACAACTGCAGTTGTGAAGCCACAGTGAAACCCGGATGAAACCAATTTGTTTTTTTGGTGGTAAGTCATATTCAACAACGTAAACATGTCTCACGGGTCACGGTCCTGGTTAAATGAATTGATAGTGACATGGTGGATTGCTTGGGTCCTGCGGGAGTCCTGCAGTTCTTATTGTTGCGGGACGTCAATCATCAACCTGTAGTTGATTTTCCGCATAGAACGAATCCGTCTCTTCTCGTCAGTAGGCCAGTCTTTTGACTGGCCAGTGGCTTGCGATGCTAGTTTCTTTGGAAGCCACGATTCTTCCCGACAGGCCAACAAGCCAGACATGGTGCATTGACATGGATCGAACCTACCTCAGCCTGATATAGTTTCAAAAAGGCTTTCAATGATCCTCAAGCACGAAGGGGATCTTCTCTTTTATCATGCAATGGCACCACGTTCGGCCACATTTCATGCAAGAACCAGGCTGCCGCTAAGTACTCCCTTCCAGCAAGAACGATGGCATTGCCCTAATGTGCAATGCGCATGATAGCTCCCCGTTCCAAACTTGTAGAAATTTTCAGACCAACCGTTGCCATGGCAAAGCCTACGCTGCTATTGTTCATCATGTTCATGGCATAGGGAATTGGCATGAATTTGTCATGTTTGGCACGTCTGAACTGGTCAATTTCTTTTCACCACGAGCCCATCAGCCCAGCATCAAAGCAGCCAACCTCCACGGACCTACAGTACCAGCACCATGGAACACTTTTTTTAACCTCCGAGTCCAAACGCTGTTGGTCCATTTGAGATCGCTTGAGTGATTCATGGAAAATCACTTTAGAAGCTTTTGCCTAATTAAGTCCTGAAAGATCTATTGGAGATAGGGCCGTGGACACGACTGCGGGCAAAGCATCGAATTAGCCAATTTTAGCACTTGCTTGTTGCGCTTGCTCAGATACCGAGCATTTAAAGCGTCAAGCATTCAAGGCATCATCAATGCTGAAGGGGTGCCAAATTCATTCCCAGACAGCTGAACATCACCACCATCCAAGCGGCGCAGTTTGTACAGTGGGACGGTATAGCGCAAAATGGGGATCTATCAGTACTACGACTTTTCTGTATTCTAACATGTTGAAAGAAATCAAAAAGAAAGAGAGCACTTCTATGAGCCTGTATGGGTCTTGTATATATCTTACTTGCAGACCCCGTCAGGATTGCCCCCTTAGGTTTCAATACAGATGTGGTGATTCTGGCACTCCTGCGCAAGAGCACCCTTCTAGAGCCTGCAAGACCCCAGGCGAAGAGTTTTTCAGCCTTACCTCAGCACATGGTGCGCAGATTGAGTGCAGCAGCGCTGGTGGCCAATGCTCAGCTGCTGCACACCTGGGAAGATGGACTGCAAGGTGAAGCAGCTCAAAATGATCCAAGACTGCCGGACGTTGAATTGATGCCCAGTTCTGAATAGGATTATTTTTTTAATACTTTAGATTTTGAAAACCTGTGCTCTGGGGCTTGTTGCCTGAGACTCAACAAACCAATTGAGAATGAAGCAAACAAATGACATCAATAGACAAAATAGATCAAAATAGCAACAAACACCATTTCAGTTTGATGCAGTTTGTCACAAAAAGTGGGTGCTTCAACCTGAAGCCAAGAGCAATCTCCAACCACTTGACATGAGAACATCTCAGAACCCTCAAAATCCTAAACGTTGCCCTATTATGCCCTGTTTGTCCTGGGCCCCCGTGGCCTTCAGCTTCACATATTTCACATCAGGTCAAGCGGCCGATCCGTGGGGACCTCGGGGTCACGATGGGAGATGTCGAAGCAATTGGTAGACATGTCGTAGCCGCAGCTGTATGACATGTCTAAGTTTTGTGATCTCAGGATATCTTAGGTAATTAGGGATGATTAGTCAAAAAGCAAAGGGCTCTTGCACAAACACAACAATTCTGGTTTATGCATGCAAGTAATACTTGTCACAGTCCAATGCAGCTAGAAGCCTCATACATCACTCTACAACCAAGTGTGGATAAGTGTGGAGGTGGGCCAAAGCCACTGTCCCCCGAATTGGGTAAACGGACATCGCAATATTGTCGACTTTGACCCTACTAGGGAAAACCTTGTATACCCTTGCTTGAGATGTTGATCGGGGCAGCACAGGTTGATCCATACCCAAGCCTGTAAAACATCTGAGCTTCCTAACGATTTGTGCCCGGATGTTCCATGAAGTTGAATTTACTAAAAAGATTTAAAAATCAGCAATATTGCTTGAATTATCACAGCGCCACAATCATGTACCTGTTTCAGGGATCATCCAGGTAGCCCATGGATCTGGTGAGTATGTTGATCCCGACTTGGCTCCTGTTTTAAGACAGTACCCAGGTCAAATGCAGAATGCCTTCCATGATCTCTCGGGGTGCCCTTGCTGGGTTCATTTGCCAGCCTGTTCAATCTTTGGCAACGCTTAATGGAGCCTTTGATTTTGTGCGTATGAGTCAAACAGGGGTGAACAACCAACAAATAAATACGACATATCATCTTGATACACACACATGATGATGATTATTATTGTATACTTACACATATTGATCATATACATATATATATATGTATATATATATATATGTATAAGGTTTGGGATCACAGCAGGGTGCCCACGTTCCCGACCTTAGAGGGTTTTGTTCCCACCACCCTCGGGCAATCGCCGCTGCCCTGGCTGCTTTCGTGTTCTGAACTGGCTTCGCCCTGGAACCGATTGCACTGCGCTCTGCTGGTCTAGCCAACCAGTATTCGCCTCGCGGCCTGTGGTCCCGGCCACGTACAAATCCGGGTGGCTTCGCGAACTTGCTGAAGGTCTTGAACATCCTCTACATTGGCCTCTCTGAAGTCGACTTTGTCCTTCAGTTGCCCTTTGTCCTGGACCACTTCCTCAGCATCTTCATGCGCTTCAGCCTTTTGATCTTTGCGGTGGTCATCTTCTGCTTGCAGGATTACTCCGTCCAAGAGAAGGAGGCAGAGACGCCTGAGGGCGTTAGCGCGGCACAAGTGGTATCTGCATCGACGCGGCTTCAGTCCTCTGACCAACGAGCAGCTCCACATCATCTACAATCGACTGGCGAGCCATCACTCCAAAGACCCTGGTTTTTTGCGCCGGCTGACACTAACAATGGCCACCAATTCCAGGCATCCTTGGCGTTGTCACTGGTGCAAGAGGCTGAGCAAAGCACTGACACCACAATGCGGCTCATGCCATACAAGCTGGGACAAGTGCATAGACATCCACTATGTCCACGGCCAAAAGACCTATCATCCGACAAATGTGAGAACACGCTCAGTACGACAGCAACCACAAGAGACATGGGAGTCATGGGAAGACTGGGAGACTATGCCAGCGAGATCCACGACTTCACCAAGGAGGAGAACAAGGAAAAAGACTCCAAAGAAGAAGCAAGCCGATACGGCCAAGGAGAACTATGGCGTCCCAGCCATGGACCCTCCATGGCAATCGACAGCCTCTACAGCGCCAACACCGACGCCAGCAGCTGCAGCTACAGAGACAGCGGAGAGCGTCGTGCTGAAGGAGCTAGTCCAAGCTTTGGAGTCCTCCGACAACCCTCTGTCGGAGGAAGTCCAGGCGGTTGTGGAAAAGGCCAAGAAGCCTATCGAACCCCCGCCAACGGCGAAAGCTGTCAGGCAATCTTGGGACAAGCTGGAGAAGAAGAGGAAACAGCTTCATCAAGCCCAAGTTGCACGGAGCAATCTCCATCGGTCATGGGCCAAGTACATCGAAGACTCTGTCAAGCGCTGGAAGTCATTTGCCAGCGATTTTGCAACAAAAGATCAGGCGCTCGAGAAGAAGGTCGTCGAGGCCAAAGAAGCTATGCAGGATGCCAGGGAGAAGTACGACAAGGCTCGCGATGCCATAGATCGGCAAGATGCGGTGACGCTCGAGGCAGTCGAGGACATCTCCGACGGCATGGACGAAGAGCCCACAGACCGCATTGCAACTGCAGAAGAGATTCAGGAAGGCATTGCGACGATGGTCTCCTCCCTGGAAGCAATTCGAGTCCGGCCTTCAGAAGAGCAGCCAGAGACAGAGCAGGCCAACAAGAAGGCCAAGCTTGGCCACCAAGCAGAAGCTGCCAAGTCTTCTGCATTTGGAGCATCTGCGCTCCAGCCTTTTGGAACGCCCGGCAAATAGACTGTGAATCAGAGATTTGTCATGGGCATCAGCGTCAAGGCTGTAGCCAGCCCCAGTACCCAATTTTCCAATGGACGCACTCCATTTTGAAGGAACCGGCATTCACGACTGAGTGGCAAGCAAGCATACGGGCTCTTGACCTTGAGTACGAAGTTGCACAAGCTGAGCCCTGCAGGACTACCACATCAGTCACATGCCCCAAAACCAGATCTTTTGCTGAGAGGACTCACCGAGTAAGTTTCAACCACCTTGTTGAGCTCTATGTGGGAGCAGAGCTCGACTATGACATGCAGCGTTGGAACCACCTCATTCAGATGCCAGTCAATGATGCCAAGATTCTACGCCCACTTGAGCGCCCCATGATGGACGAGACCTCATTGATGGCCACAGGAGAGTTCCAAAGAGATCGAACACCACGACGTTTTCCGACACAACATCATCGTCTACAAGATGATCATAGAATTGCTCAGGATCCGAATGATCCTCATGAGCCATCTGAACCTTCTGATGATGAAGAATCAAACAATGACCGAGCAGAAACAGATGGAGAAGACAATGCACCTGATTGGTTTGCATCCGTCCTGTTCGCCCTCAATTTCCAACCGCAGCCTATGAGAGTCAATTGGAATGACTACGAATCCATGCATTGGGATGCTGCAGTAGCGTTGGGCGTGTCCAGGCACCATCTGTATACACTTCATCATCTACCATTTCCTCCCCTTGATCTTGCAGATGCCGGAGTCGAAGCCCTCATTGGGCATCGACACAATGACATCGGGCACGGATCCAACCTTCAGCTGGTCCTCATGGATGTGGAGTTCCACAGTGCAGTTCCTGATGTCCAGCCAGAAGTGGTCCGAAGAGTTGTGAGGCTTCCCAGACAGATCGGCAGAATGGCGATGCTGCAAAGACTTGGGCTCCGTGAATATTGCAGAACGACACAGCATCCATGCATGATTTGGCACAACCGAGATCTCCTGTCGCCTACGAGTGCGCGCCCACTTGCACTGGCACATGGACACTACATCAGGGTCGCAGTGCCGCCTGGAGGCGATGAAGTACTACACATTGCCACACGCTGTGTTGCCAGCGCTTGTCACCAGGGCATATCTGCAGCTGAGCTCTGTGATCGTCATGCCCTCTACGTTTTGGGATGGTACGACACGATCATTGGACCTCCACTTGTGCCTCTGCCCCCTGATGAAGACGTGACCAACCTGATGCAGCTCAGTACGGTTGTGCCACCTGAAGAACACTGCCCATGGTTTCTCCTGCGGACGCGTCAATGTTTCATTGATGCCTGGGAGCAGCCTTGCCCTTTTCAGCTGAAATGGTCAAAGATTCCAGCCATTGAGTTTGAATCAGGTGAGGAGCCACAAGATCATCTTGAAGATGAACCTCCGTACAGGAGAAGCACTTCACCGACCTTCGAAAGACCTATTGGGCAGCCAGCTAATCCTCTACAAGGACAACCGGCAGTCATTCAAGAGCTCTTCATGCTATGGTTGCATGTGGCAATGACGCAGCAAGGAGGAGAGGACACGGTCATTCCTGTTGAGACCTGGTATCTGTCCGAACCTGGACATGTGATCTGCGGTGTCTCCCGCACGGTGAATCTGGGCAGGGACTTCCAATCGTGGCTTGGGCAAATCATTGAGGAGTGGGAGGACGTTCTTGATCGAACCACCACCATACAGCTGCACGCTGTACGCCCAATGCCAAGAGCCACCATCGCAAGACCCACTACCAGACCGCACATCATCCTGAAGCAGCGCACACCAGCTGACATGGTCGTGAACCTGTACACGGTTTTGGACTCTTCTGGTGCTACCCTGCGTGCCAGCCAATTTGCAACATTTGGCCCCCGGCCTCAAACTTGGTACATTGCCATCCGCCAGACAGACATGCATCGACACTGTGACAGACCTGAATCTGCCATTCAGTGCATGGTGTGGCATGGTGATTTCCAACTACGAGCGCCCATGGAGATGGACAACAGGGATGGATTTGAATTCACCGTGATTGTGAATCCGACCCCGACCACCAGGCACCCACCAGATCAAGATCTATGGCAAGAAGAAGATGATGATGCCCTTCTGCAGCTGCCATCAGACAGGATCACACTGCATCTTGAGAGCCTCATACCTGAGACAGTTGCAGTCAAACTGATTGCCCCCATTGGCACACATCAATTGCCAACGCCATTGGAAGTTGCGGCACCTGGCGAGCCACATCAAATCGCTGCAGAACTGGTGCATTGGGGACATCACTGCCAGGTACATGATTGCTGTCCTCAAGATTGCTTCCTTTGCCTACCTGCCAAAGATTCCCCATCAGACGAGCACTGGCACTACGTGTTCTGTCATGATGATGCACAGGATTGCAATGGTGTCTTTTGCCACAGTGCTGGCACTGACCTTGATGAGATTCAGCTCATGGCCTTCCTCTGCGACATGGGATATCCAAGAGCAGTCATACTTGCACAAACAGTCATTGCGCAGCGATGGAAGAAGGTGCTGTTTCATCACCGTGAACCAGAACTTCACAAGAAAGCTCAGCCCCAGCGCACAATGACTCCTTGGCCAGCGCGGGGTGATGCACAGAAGACCTCAAGGTGTCTCTTCATGCCTGCACCCCGAGGCGAAGTTCCCATGTGCGCACTGAAAACACCTTTTGACCAACATGATCTGGACGAGCTCTTTGCCTCTAGCATTGATGTCCTTTGCACCGAGCTCTCTGGAATTGAACTGCCGCCTGAAATCAATGCGCAACTTCAGGCAGTGCCCGTGTGTCCTTTGACCAAGACAAGTGACCTTGATCAATACGACCGCATCCTGATTTACACTGATGGGTCGTCAAACCCAAATATGCGTCGCTGCATGCCACAAAGGGCTGACGAACTTGGCTCTCCAGACACATGGGCCATGATTGTCATCGGCGAAACCTTCATCACCTCGGAGCACTCCCAATGCCATATCCTTGGATGGACTGCACACCCAGTGAGATATGCAAAAGAAGGAAGTGCATACATGCAGATCGATGCCATAGGGTCTGATCTTGCAGAGCGTGCAGCGTTGATTGGGGCCGGAACATGGCGGCTCGGCCTGAACCACGCTGTCCCCACGGTCATTTGTACCGATTCAAGCAATGGGGGACTACAAGCGTTTGGGAGAATTGGAGCGTCCCAGGCCGACGAGTCATTTGACCTGCTTAGAGGCATTTTCCAAGCCCTTGAGGCGGCACTGGGCCCTTCTCAGCTCGTCCTCCAGCATATCAGATCCCACGCTGGGGACTGCTTCAACGAGTTTGTTGACGCAGCAGCTAAGCTTGAAGCTAGAAGGTCACTGAACATGAGAAGACAGAGAATTGACATGCAGCAATGGCTTGAACGTTTCAAATGTCTCTGGATCATCTTTCAGCACAGCAATGGTTTACCCACATGGCACGATGGCGTCATGAATGCAACAGCGCCTGCGCTGCCAGTACCTGGCCTTCGACTTGACCAGCGCACTGGACTGTCGCATCGTGGCAACTGGGCTGACTTTACATTTAGCATTGGCACCGCAAATGTCAATGCTCTATCCAGAGGACCTGATGGCTACGCAGGCAAGTTGCACTACTTGCAAGATCAAATGCGTGCCCTCAAGCTCAACTGCGTAGCTGTCCAAGAAGCCAGATCTGAACAAGGATGCTCACGACGAGCCAATATCCTGAGACTTTGTACTGGGCATCAAGGAGGGCAATATGGCATGGAACTATGGATTGACCTTGCAGCTCCATATGCCTCAGATCACAAAGGAAGAGAACAATGCTTTCGTGATTCGCATTTTCTTGTTGTTCATCAAGACCCTCGCAGAATGCTGGTGAGATGTGATGCAGGCCATTGGTCCTTTTGGCTATTTACCTTCCATGCACCGCATTCTGGCTATCGTGGCATTGAACGTGAAGCCTGGTGGGCTGAAACGATGGAGATTCTGCAGCGATGTTATGATGATGATCCTCTTTTCATACTGGCAGATGCGAATGCAGAACCAGGAGAATATGATGGAGAGACAGTGCAAATCCGTGGATTCCCAACCACTGCGAACACACCTGCATTTCGTACATTGCTGCAATCCTATGGCCTGTACTTGCCAGCTGCAAGTGAAGCCCACCGAGGCCCAAATGGCACTTGGTCTCACTGCAATGGACTTAGTCAACATTGCATTGACCACATTGCGATTCCACTGGCATGGCAGCAGCGTTGCACGCACTCTGAAGTCTTGGATGCATTTGACATGGCCACAGCCCATGATGATCACAAAATGGCAGCTATCCAATTACAATGGAGAGGCCGCCTAAGTGATGACTCTGCAGCCTGCAAGCAGAAGCACATCAAGAAGGCAGTGAAATATTGCCACCACTTCGACATGCATCAACAAATCCTACAAATTGCCCCTCAAGATTGGCATCGTGATGTCGAACACCAAACGGAGCACATCACGCAAGAGCTTCATGATCTGCTAGCAGCCAACCAAGCAGGAGAATGCTCCTCTAGTAAGAAGCCATATGTCAATCAGGAAATTTGGGAGCTTCGCAGTCAGAAAATTGTGCTCAGGAAGAAGATCAAGGCAGTCAACTACAGACTCCGACGAGAGCTGCTACAAGACTGCTTCCTGCTCTGGCAGAAACAAGACCAGAGAGAAAAGAACCCAGAGATAGGTCAACAGACCTTCAACTACGGTGTCACTCTCAGATGCAAGTCCCTGCACTTTGTGGCGCGACTTCGTGCGGTTGGATGGCGTCTTCGGCATGAACTGACCCGTAGCAAAAGCAATGCCCTTCAACGACACCTTGATCAACTTCCTGAAGACACCTCTGCAGCAGATTTCCTGAGGGAGCTGAAACCTTTCACTGGACCGACGAATCCCAAGAAGGCCAAGCGTAGCACTCTGCCCATCGTCAAGAATGACCAAGGAGAACACTGCCAGCTCCCGTGTGAGGCCACCGAGACCTGGATCAACTTCTTCCAGAATATGGAGGCCGGCAAACGCATGCCCTATGAGGAGCTGAGGTCAATCTGGATCCAGGAACTTGCACACTTTCAGCAGGATGACTTTGAGGTAGACCTGTCTGCTCTACCCAGTCTTGTCGACCTCGAACGTGCACTACGACGAGTGCCACGTGGCAAAGCTCATGGACCCGACGGCCTCCCAGGTGAACTATGCCATCATCAACCGGCAGCAGTTGCGCGACTTTTGTATCCAGGGCTTTTGAAGACCATGCTGCACGGGCATGAGCCCCTGGTTTTCAAAGGTGGCAAACTCATTGCAGTCTACAAAGGCAAGGGAGCGGTCGACGATTGCAAATCGTTCCGATCGTTGCTCATCTCCAACCACTTGGGCAAAGCAGTGCATCGCGCTATTCGCCAGCGCACCGCATCGGTCTATGAGGCCTTCCTACATCAACAGCAGACCGGAGGCAGACGCGGCATTCCTGTGCAACTTGCACTACATCAAGCGCGTGCTTTCTGCCGCCAAGCGAAAGATGCTGGTGCCTCCACAGGCGTTTTGTTTGTGGACCTGACAGAGGCGTTCTATCGCATTCTTCGAGAAGCTCCTCTAGGTGGTGAAGTCAATGATGAGGTCCTGGCTCACATCATGGCAAAACTTCGCATGCCAGAGGACTCCTTGCACCGCATCTATGAGCTGCTCCAGGAACCACCTGCGATTGCACAAGCCGGCTTGGCGCCGACCTTTCAAAGGAGCTTCATCGCAATCCATCGCTCCACTCATTTTTGGATGCGTAACCAAGGTGACGTCTCCAGGACGTCCCTTGGGACACGCCCTGGCGACAGTTTTGCTGACATTGTGTTTGGGTATGCATGGACCACAGTATTGGCCAAGCTCGAGAGGCATCTTCTGGCACATGGCTGGTTACCACCTCTCCCTGCACATCATCAGCTTCCGCTATTTGGGCATAGCTTCGAGAAGGATCAGATCGCACATTTTTTGGGCCCGACGTGGATGGACGACCTCGCCATCTGCGTGGAAACGAAGCAAGGTGAGCGATTGCCCAACATCATGGCCAATGTGGGTAGCTTTCTGATTGACCTCTGCGCCTTCCACTGCCTCTCGCCAAACCTGTCTCCCGGGAAGACGGAGTTGCTTTTGAGCTTTCGAGGTGCTGGCTCACGCAAATTGAAGACGCAGTTCTATGGCCCGAAAAGCGATGGAGTTCTCCCAATTGTTTGCGAACACTCCACGCAAGCACTACGCATTGTCTCCAAGTACAAGCACTTGGGCGGAGTCTGCCATCACTCTGGAGACCAACGGCAGGAACTGAAGCAGAGAGCAGCGATGGCACATCAAGCATTCACCAAGCACAGGAAGCTCCTATTCCACAATCGCTCGGTTCCATTTGCAAAGCGCATCGAGCTCTTTGAGATGCTTATCCTGTCCAGATTTCTGTATGGAGCTGACTCCTGGGTGGCTATGGACAATGCGACGCAGCAGACCTTCCACGTGACGGTCATGAAGCTGTACAAACGACTTGCACAAATCAAGGCGGATGACCATTTCACGGACGCCGAGATCCTGTCCAAAGTGCACCTCCCGAGCCCGTCTGAGCTCTTGAGACGAGCCAGGTTGAGGTACTTTGTCACATTGGTCAAAGCAGAGCACGAAGACATCTGGACGCTCCTAGCTCGTGACCGTGCATGGCGCCAACTCCTTGAAGATGACCTGATTTGGATGTGGCATCAGCTTCACCATACATCCGACTTGAAAGATCCGAGGGAGCACTACCCGCAGTGGCTCCTGATCGTGCAGACCAGTCCAAAGTACTGGAAGAACCTGGTGAAGAGAGCATGCGCACACAGCATACAACAACGTCAGCGGGTTTTGCACGTTCAAGATCTTCATCGTCGTGCTTTACCTCTCCTCTGGAGTTTTCTGCCCGAGCATCTTCAACCCGTTTTGGAGCAGCAGCAGATCCCTGAGGTATTTGGTTGTATGCAGTGCAAGTTGAGATGCAAGAGCAAAGCTGGGGAGGATGCGCATCTTTTCAAAAGACATGGACAAGTATCCAGATTGCGCATGCTATGCGACCACCCCACATGCCCTTGTTGTTTGAAACATTTCCACACGATGCAGAAGCTCAAGGGACATCTACGTCATTCGGCCAGATGCAGAGAAACCTTGGATGGTCGCAACATGAACTGTCCGTTGGTTCCTGGATGCGGATCGACTGATGATGCCGAAAGAGAACATTTGCATGATCGCCTACTACCTCCCATTCAGTGCGAAGGCCCGATGCCTCCTGCAACCAGAAGAAGGCAAAGACCAGACATTGATGGTGAGCTGTATGACAATTTGATCGACATGATCACAGACGCAAGTGCAGCCCTGGACCTGTTCGTCTCCGCTGCTGATTTGATCTCTGATCGGGCTATTTCATGGACACGATTGCGAAGCACTTTGCTCTTCCTCGTGGACACGCTGACCCAGGAGGACAACACGATCCTGCCCATTGACGTGGAGACGATCAAAAAGACCTTGCACAGTCTGATTGAGCCTGAGAATTGGCCCTTTCTGCAGCAGGACAGGGTGGAATGCTGTAGCGATGCTGATCTCACCACACTGGAAGATCATTGCGATCAAGCGCGACGATATTTGGAGCGTGGAGCCCTTGCAGTAGTCCCACGACCGTTGGGACGACACAGGGTTATCTTGCACCTCTATTCCGGAAGACGCAGACGAGGCGATGTACAATTCTATCTGGACAAGCTGGCGAGCAGTCAGGCCCATTTCATGTTGCACATCGTATCACTTGATATCGTGATTGACCCTGTCTATGGCGATGCCATGCGTGCTGATACTTACGATTTTTGGTTGACCTCCATCCGGAGCGGCTACATCATTGCAATGCTCGCCGGGCCCCCGTGCGAATCCTGGTCTCGAGCCAGGGGGGTCTCCCTACATGGCAAGCCCGAGCTTCCTGGACTGGTGCAGAGATGCGGACCACGCATCATTCGTGACATCCAGCACCTTTGGGGGCTAGAGAGCGTCACCATCCGTGAGCTTGAGCAACTTCAAGTTGGGAATGCGCTGCTTGGCTTCACGCTTTTGGCGCTCCTGGAAATGGCACTGGCAGACGGTCATGGCATGGTTGAACACCCTGCCGAACCTGAAGATCTCCCTCATGCGGCTTCGATCTGGCGGCTCCCACTCGTCAAGGCCATCATGCAGCTCCCGAACATTGAATTGCTTAGATTTTCCCAAGGATTGATGGGCGCGAAATCGCACAAGCCTACCCATCTTCTCCTTCTGAATTTGCCACAGCTTTTGACGTGTCTCCATGCCAATAGGGTCAGATGTGATATCCCCAGGGCTGCCACGATTGGTAAGGATCAGTCTGGCAACTGGAACACGGCTGTGTTGAAAGAATACCCGCCAGCTATGTGCAGGGCTGTTGCTCATGCTCTGTTTCAGGCCACCTCTGACCGACCGGTCATTGAAGGAGCCCCTGAACCACCTGCAGTTTTCATTGACACGTGCAAACGCATGCATGTCACTGCATACGGTGAGAGCATTGGAGCTGACTATGTACAAAGATAGCTGGTGGGCACTTGTTTTCTGAATTCACTGAACCTGAGACAGGCCGCAGCGTGCAGCTCCATTGTGCCTCTTGGAAAAAAAAATATATATGTATATATATATATATGCGAGACGTGATCCGGAGAGAGGTCTGCAGAGTTGGTTTCGACCAGCGAAACCCGAAACCCGAAACCCGAAACCCGAAACCGACTCTGAAGACTTAACTTCCCCAGGACCGATCGAAACCCGAAACCCGAAACCCGAAACCGACTCTGAAGACTTACCTTCCCCAGGACCGATCGAAACCCGAAACCCGAAACCCGAAACCCGAAACCGACTCTGAAGACTTAACTTCTCCAGGACCGATCGAAACCCGAAACCCGAAACCCGAAACCCGAAACCGACTCTGAAGACTTACCTTCCCCAGGACCGATCGAAACCCGAAACCCGAAACCCGAAACCGACTCTGAAGACTTAACTTCCCCAGGGCCGATCGAAACCCGAAAACCGAAACCCGAAACCGACTGTTAAAGTTGGTTCCGAACTGCGAAACCCGAAACCCGAACCCCGAAACCGACAGCGAAAGTTGGTTTCAAGCAACGAAACCCGAAACCCGAACCCCAAAACCGACAGCGAAAGTTAGTTTCAAGCAACGAAACCCGAAACCCGAAACCGACAGCGAAAGTTGGTTTCAATCGACGAAACCCGAAACCCGAAACCCGAAACCGACTCGAATCCTACTTTTGGGTGGCTCTCCGGATCGGAACTCATATATGCACATCAATTACATATCCACTTGCCCGAATTCAGTGGAGTAAACAAGTTTTGATCATTGGAAAAAGGCCCGCTTCTTCTGTGAGTAAGATTGCCGAATCCAATAGTATATACAGAGGTAAAACTGCTCAAATTTTCCATATGCCATACCCGGGGGGAAGATGACGTGCCCCGGTGATTTGAACAAAAGAAATCAAAATGAGAAAACAATGAACAAATGGCAACAAAGAACCCATAGTTTTGATTAATATTGGCCTTAAGGTGTCCAACTTCCTCTTTCATCTAACATTAACTACCTATATAATTATTTCCACGTTTGGTTTCCCCTGCTCACCCATGCTTGTCATTTTGGACCAACATGATCAAACGTGAAAAAACCAATGGTTTGCTTCCAATCCAATAGTGTCCACAAGGGACCCATTGCGAAATGTTACAGCATGGATCACCTTCCAGTTTCGCATCTGCAGCTCCCAACGGCACGGCCTACGGGGATCTCCATCAGTGGCAGATCCTGGCAGTTCGGAGCGGCTGGGGCAGCTGGGATCGTGGGTATCACCAAGCCACATGTTGTGATATGGTGATGAACCCGGCAATAACGAATGGGTTTCATGGATGTTTTTGCAATGTTTAATCATTGCCAAAAAAGACACCACCATCAAGTAAGTGCATATGACAGGTGAAAAAGGAGATTTAGAGACACACACACACATATATATATATCTACATACATACAAACACACGCACGCAGGCATCTAATGAATAAACGTGGGCGTTTCACCAACGCCGAAATACACTTCACCAGGAGGAACAGTGGAACTAAGGACAAAATCGTTGAACAAACAAAACAAAATTCAAACAGCTTGAATCGTTTGAATCTTGAACGTATGCGCATGGCGCATACCCGCTACTTTACATATACAAATAGTTACATGTATGGAAGCACTGTACTGTAGGTTGATCCACCTCAAGTAATCCATTGCTGGTCACTGCAAATCAGCATTCTTGATCCCGGCAAGACAAAAAACCTCTTCAGCGCTTCAGCCAGTTTCTTGCGTGGTGCCTGGAATCCCTATTGTGCTAACCGGCTGGTGAAGAGCTTCTTCTCGATTTATGGGACTGTTCTTGGTATTAGTACTTGCGGGCCAACAGTAAAGGCAAAAGAGCCAAAAAACGTTCAAGCAAATCTAGTGCACCTATTGCTGGTGGCGTATCTGGTTTCTCGAATTACAAGCCTCTGGTTGGACGGCTGCTCTCCCAATTTTTTGTTGTGATACACTCTTTGTTCACTTAGTTACCTACTGTCAGGAACATCATAAAATGATATTTAATGATATAACATGCATGTGTTCGTTGGTAAAGCATCCTGCTTTCTTGATGAACCCTGATGTCCTCACAAATCACCTCTTACCCCCACAATGGACGTCCCAGGCCTGTGTTTCTTCCTGGCGACCCGATCCACATACCCAGGGTGAATCGGTTTGGGAACATTTACATCATTTACGGCCAAGGCCGCAAGGGGACATACTTCGACACATATTGCTGAATACGTGTTATGAACCTTATGAAACCAACAACAGGGAATACAACCACACACACACACAACGGGCCTTTGACCAACGCGCATCATTGTGATTTACCAAACATTGTAGTTTGATGGATGGGCCAACAATACACGACACCCGGAGAGTCACAAGTGGATGAAAGCCCCATTTGTGACACAGCCGCCGTGGTTCCAGCCAATCTGGCAATCTAGGCAAACCCCTTGGAGTGTACCGTACTCTTTGTTGGTAAGTCATTTTCATCTGTATGACATGCAGATTCTGTTCAATTAACTTGTTGTCAGTTGATGTCAGTTGTTTTGAACGGAAAAATATAGTCCAACTTTGTAGCAGAAACGGTTGAAATGGGCTCCCAGCCGTTCAATCAGCTCCAAACAGCCCCATAGGCCACCAGTTGAAGCTGGCAAATGCCTACATGAGCTATAACTGACATGAACCATGGTATGACATGATGTAATCATGTAATCTCTCGCAAGCTCGGAAGTGCGAGTGACCTCAGAGGAAGAGAAGACCAACGTGTCGATCAGGGACAATGTGTCTCCGTCCTGGCTCTGAGGGAAACAACAAATAGCGGGACCACCTTGGCGGGGTAACCAGCAAAAACCAGCAAAGATAGGGATAGAAAATGATAGAAACATAATCAAAAAGATTGGGGGACAGAGGCACAAACAACACGTGAGCAACACTTACGCGTCTGGAAACCACCAAACAAATTTGCACACATCACGAGTTTGAATCAGCATCCTACTTGTTACACAAGTGTATACAAGTCATCAACAAAATTCAACAAATATGCTCATGTTGATGGCTGGGTCCAGCCTCCTCCTGTTCCTCCTCACCCTGAAGGCCATAGAAAGAGGAGACCTTGCCATGAAAGTAATCATGGAGGCATGGGGATATGACCAGCAACCATGGATATGACCTGCAATGACCTAAGACGAGAACAGTCAACAGCTTAGATGTGGACTACAGAGGGGTGAAAATGCATATGCAAACTGTTCGAAATGGAGGGATTCAAACACAAGTCAAGACGCAGCTCATTTCCCCACAAGCTTTTGTCCTGTTCAGACTTGTGATCCCCTTTAGTACCCGAGTTATACAGAGTAACCACATTCTTGTTGAACCTCTAGTCTTGAGCAGAAGGGTGTCAACCATAACACGTTTGCTTCAAAGGCTTTCAACATGCATGTCCAACAAGTGATGATGAAGTGGCTATTACAGTACCTGCCTTTTGGCGTTGACTGCTCCGCCTTTCACCGAGAGATTTTATGGCCATGGCAGCCCTGCCTCCACTCGATCTTTCCAGGGGCAAATATTGCCCCATCCTTCCGGGCGCTGGTCTCAACATGTCTCAACCATGTGTCGAACAAACTTCTCCAAATGAGTTGAATAATGTTTATTGATTCTCTTGTCTTCGAATAATGACCTCATTCCATCACAACAGTCGCTGGAGAATGATAGTCCTTGGTTCCCCAAGTACAATCATATATTCCCTTTCATTCTCCGTTTCTAAGTACAGTATTCATTGTCATGGCTGTCGGGGTTCCTCACTTGCATGTAGGTCAGCACTACGTCCTGGAAATTGGACAGTTCATCGCATTAAAGGTGACCAACATTTGGCTCCCTGGTCAGAACTATTGATCTGTAACATTCCGTAACATTTAATGTTCAATTTGTTCAATAGCCCTGCATCATCTTCTGAATCCTTTGCTTCCTGGGGGCTAAATGCGCGCCTCGAGCAGATGTGCTGTCCTGATGGCGAACTGGGCTGGAAGACCAATAGGCGGGATCCAAAAACTGCTCTGCAGCAAAGGATGAAATCTCCAGGCGACAGCAAGCGTAGAACACACAAAACACCTTTTGTGTATGCATACTCTATCGTTAATATCCAAATTCTTTTTGTTTCTGCTGCTCTCAAGTCTGCTGGCTGCATTACCACTGCTGTTGATCATGTCGATTGATATTGCTGCGTCCGACTGTATCGGTGAATTGGTCGTTTGATGTTGATTCCCTGTTCGCAGGTCGCAAGAATCTGCACTAAGCCTCGTGGTATCTGGTAATACATCCCCCTCCAGCAATGCTCAGGTTTCCCTGCCAAAGTAGCCATTTTGGTACTTAGTCCCACAGCCGGCCGTGCACCTGTATTGGTCATTGGGCATCATCATGCCAAATATGTTTACAGCAAGTAAACATAGTTGAGGCCATCGACCAAATTAACCAAGCCAAATCCAGCAGCACATTGCACCTGTGCAGCCTTCTTCTCATGCCTCTGCTTGAATCCACCAGGGCTCCTGTGACCAGGTGGATGTTGGATTCTTTGATATTCAGTGGGGGCTGTGTCATCAATGGAGACACAATGATAACGTATTATATACACGTAAGTTTACCAGCAATATATTGACCCCCAAGCAAACGGTCATGGATTTCTTAGTTGTTTTGGTGGTTTTAATGCCTTTGATCCCCTATCTAATTTAGGGACCACTCTCAAGCCATTTCCCCAAAGATTCAGCTTTTCCGCCTGCCGAAGCTCGGCGATCTGGCAGCAACCTCAGGTGATCACGGCACTGAGGTGAAGAAGGGAAGAGCCCTGCCCGGGTGTGGTGTCCCATGAATGCCCCCAAAGCTTCAGCATGCTTCAGCATTTTATTTGTCACCGTGAAAATCGCAATGGAATGCAATGGATACTTACTGCGTAATATGCATCCCCAACTCTATCACCATTAGCACCTGCATTTTTGGTATCCTCATTCCATTTTTTTGCTTTTGCGGCGCCACCTCTTGTCATGGATCTCCTTTGGATCTGGCTGCGCAAGACGCTGCAGTTCGTGATGTTAGTTTGGGACATGATCTATCTAGATTTTGACTTCTCTAAGCACCCAGGCAAACATACAGAGTATCATAAAGTAATTCCTCTGCCGGATCATGAACTACAATGCCAGCTACTCAGCATCCTTTTCCTCGGTCTGGGTCTCAATCTTTCTGGGCGCTTGAAGCGCGTAGAGGCCTCCCGAAAGGGCTCTGCATGAGGAGCCGACAGGAAATATGGGGAGACACTGCTCGTTTCTAAAGGGGTCACCATGGGTCACCACTTAATCAGTAGAAACAATGATGCTCCTGCTGAAGAAGCAACATTTAGGACGTTCCCGCCATTCACTTGGAAACTGGATCTTTGCTTGGCAATCTTTGAGCACCTTTAGACCACCAAAATTGACCTGACTTGGAACTTTCGGCGCCTACGGTAGCCCACATTCTCGCCATGTAATTTCCGAAGCAACAATCCACGCCTGATATGATATAACTATGTCATTATTACTCCACAGCAGTTCCTTGCCCCACACATCACTGGATTCCGTGCCTACAACAAAAAATGGTTGTCCCTGCAGCAAACTATTGTTGATAAACAACCTGAAAAAGGGGGAGAGAATGATGGCTGTCTGCAGTACAGCTGCAAACAGACTTGCACTTGTTGAGATCTCAGGGGATTCGCCTCAACTCCGATGCTTAACTCACCATCTTTGTGGTATCATCCTGTCTTTATGATTCATCTGATTCTTGACTGCTTCAATCTCCATATCAGGCATGTCTTTCAATCTGCAAAGGTGCCCCAACCCCCTCTGGCACATCCAGTGCAAACACCATGCTGGCACCTTTCCAGCGCTCCATGATGTGACCTTGCCAGGTTGGATTCTTGGAGGGTCGGGCGCATGATTTTTCAAACAGAGATGCTTGCTGATTTTGCTGATGTGTCTTCACACAGCAATTCTTCATAATGTCACAGGGTTCACCGATTTGATGGATGATTTGGCTGTTGGGGATGGAAGAATGATGGTCAAAAGAACCTGATCTATGATGCTTGTACTGCTTGTACTGTCAGTAGCAACCACCGTTTCAATTCCTGATGGAGAATTGGAGGTGGAACCCACTTACAACTGAACATTGTTCAATTTCACGTTCTTTGTCATTCTGACATATCCTGACCACTTGGTGGGACATCGAACAGCTTCCAACTGGCAACTTTGCCCGGCCTTTCTTTCTTCGAAGTCGCTCCCAAGCATCTTGCTTGTACTCCTCAGACTCCTGACAGATGGAGGTGGAGCAACCCATTCTGCGATGATCATCCAAAGTAGTGGCTTCACTCATAAAAAGAACAGTAGGAATGAAACGATCAAAATCAATGCGAACAATCTTCGGTGTGCGCTTGCTTGGTTGATCTGGTCCCAATCCCGCTATCCCATAGTGCAGCATTGCCGGCAAACTATAGCAAACTTGTGGGGCAAACTCTTGTGCCTAGAGTCCAGCGCATGCGGTCTGGTTTCATGTCTGGAATGGCTTCGGAAATCTTGGAATACGGTGCAAAATACTGGAGGATGAACAGGTCATACCAGGCTCGTAAGTATCGAATCACTTATCAAATCTTGATGATCTGTCTACTTCAGATTACCTGCTGTTTAAAAACTTCGTTGCCGATCATGAGCGCAATCGCGGTGGATGTGGTAGTTGGCTACAGCCACTTAATTTTGGCGGGCATGCCTGTATGTGCGGCTATCAAACCATACCCAGAAGTAATGGTTTTCATCCCAGTAGTAGCTGATGGAAATGTGCCGGCCGGTGTTGCCTCCCCATCTTTCACTTGGATGTTTTGCTCACTGATAGTTGGCACTGATAGTTGGTGATATCATGTGATACCGTAATGTATCGAATATTGTTGCATTTTTTGCTCATTCATTACCCGGAAATATCAATGGCATGCCAACCTGCGGGCCTGTTCAGGACAAATTTAGACCCATACCCCATATCCTCTTGCCTATAAAACTAAATCTAAGTATATCTAACTTACATTCTCCAAACGAGGTTGGATGTCCGTGTTTTGCTGGGCAAATCTCCATAGCGATCAAAAACTTGCGAATCACTGCGCCATGTTGGTCAATCCCCTGATCCCAGGCGCCATGTCTGCGGTGGACTTGTTGTCACCGGCCTCAGCAGCCGCTGTTCATTCAAGAGCCAACGCTTTGGAAATTTTTCTAATGCCACTATAGAGCCTGAAATTGGGTTTCCACAGGTGATTTGATTATCAGCAAAGGACGAATAACAAATGAAGGGTGCACGTGCAAACGCTACCAATCTGGCAAAGTATGAGCAGCTCTTAAACGCCCTGAATACACCCTTGCCCCGGATGAACTTGGCCATGAGGTCATTCCAAGTTGGTCAAGTAAAGAATCATAAGGATATGCTGTGCCAACAGAAACAATTGGATATACAAATGGAATAAGGGATGGGATGCAGGCACAGAACCATGAGAGGAAGCTGGCTTCAAATAGGGATTGAAAAGGGGCCCTGGACAAAGCCAAAGACAGGTGGGTCAACGAACAAACATCTGATGTTGAAAATGTTGAACCTTGTCCCGGAGAACAATCGCACCATCGAAAAAATCGAGTAATTATCCATTGAGCCCTGGACTTCCCATTCTGGATACTCATAACGAAACAGGTACTGTCTTCGAAAGTCCTGCAATGTGGCAAAGCGCTGTCATGGTATGATGGCAGCTTGAATTGATGGTGCACGGGGGTGTTTCTTCGGAGCCGAGGAAACGAAAGACTTATTGACTTTGGATCCTGAGCATTTGATAAGACGTGTATTTCTGGTAAAGTTCTAAAAAATCTACACCTTCAAGTTTCACCGAGTTTTTCCCCTTCAAAAAGAAGAACCACCAACTTCAGTGGGACAAATACTTTCATTACTATACAAATGAATTTGAACAGCTCTTTTTTATTGTTGAAGATCCCACATTCTGAGCTTGAAATTCGCAGCACTTTCCTTGCCAATCCCAGCGAGCCAATGGCCCAGGCCTCCAGCTCATCTCGAGGAATCTTGTACCTGAAGACACTCGGGTCGCTGATCCATCGATACATCCACCGATTTCTTCGCTCATTACAAATCATTATCATCAATGTAACAATGAAGGTGAAATATATGGTGATGCTATTCATGGCATTCATGGTATCACAGTTTCACTAATCACCAGCATTACTGCCACAGTCACTATTACCACATCATGTTCCCGATGAGGCAAGCATACCAATTGTAACACACCGGCTTGAGTTTGCTAATCAAATAGGCTTTGGGTTTAATTATTGGATGTCTATGGATGTCTGGGTTCTGATGCAACTCTCGCTGTTTCCACATGGTCGTACAGTTTCAGTGGCGCGCAAACCTCACAACACTTTGCCCAACTATCACTAACCTGCTCCAATTCTTCTAATTTCATTGCTAAAAAATACTGACGCATCAAAATCATCTAATTTTCAATGCGGCACATAATCAAGTACAACATCCAATACTAACATTGTCGAAAAAATGGAGAGCATACACTGCGTACAGGGCGGGCCCCAAACCAACTGCAAATCTCTTTCCACGTTTCAGAAGGGGCTTCTTTTCCGTATGATGTTCTCAGCACTGTGGACAAAAGGACTATAAAGGCAACTCTTTGTGATAAAACAACCTTTTACACACATCCACTTATTGGTTCAATCGTTGAGCCATGGGTGCCTTCGAACATTACCTGCCATCCCTACGTAAGGGTCACTGTGAACACCACGAACCAAACAGCCCTATAACATGGCTCTGTCATAGCTCTGTCTATCACACCAGGGCACGGGTCGATGAATTCCTGTCTCAGCAACCGTGACACGAGCTTAGCGGCGCGATGGCAAAATGAAAAGTGATGTGCCGGCAAGATTGAAATGGGATGATGATGGACAATGTAGTGGTTCAAGCCCGAAGAACCTGGTATAGAAGTGTTGGAATATCATCTAGAATCATCTAGAAGCTAGTTGAGGTGTCAGCAAACAAGTTAGCTTCAGGAACAACCAAGAACTAAGGATGTGCTGATGCACCAAACAAGACATTTGGAAATGAACAAGAAGAGAAACACATTCACAAAAAAAGAGTAGAATTAGAATCACAATGAATCACAAGAACCTGTCTTCAACCCAACAGGATTTCAATCTATTTCATTGTTTTGGGAATGGGCTCGGTCCATGTGAATGTCCAGCAGTTTACGGCCCGTCCGCCCATCCGAAAGCAAATCACAAAGAAAGCTGGTTGGCAGTTGAACCACCCATCTTGCAAATATCGAACATCGGAAAATAAACCGCCAGTCATCAACAAAGGATCTGGATCCGATAGTTGAGAATGCCGATGGGATATCTGAGCCATTGATTATAATTAACAAGAATGACATTCCCAATTCCTTGGACCATCACCCTCAACAAGCGTCACTCTCGACATCCAAGCCACTGCGTTCTTTGGGTTGTCTGGGTTCTTGCCATCCACCCACCTGCACAACCAAAGCCAACCGGTGGCGATATGCCCCGTGGCAACCCTTAAAGTCAACATGGAACACCAACATGGCCACTATCCACAGAAAAATCTGAACTTCCGGACCCGAATGTTGGGCTCCAGATGAGATTTCAGTAGCGCACAGTGACTTGGGTTGGGCTTGGGAGTGACTCGACCCGTGCTATCCACTTGATTGTTGGATGGGCAATGAGGCTATGAGGCATTGAATGAGGCTCAAAGAAAATTGCTTTAGAACTCGCTCATATAATTTGATGGCATAACAACACATTCAAAACTGCTGAATTCTTAGTCTTAAACGGGGGTAAACACATCCCGTCGCCCCAAACACCCCAGCAGATCAACAGGAAACCGGACTTTTGCCACCAATTGGTGAAATACCTCACCTCAGTAAGATCCGCAGCCTCCTGGAAATCAACCAAACAATTACTAGTACTTGTTGATAATCGAGATTTTAACCATCCAAAAGAACATGTAGATTTAAATTTGAATGTGCGGTAAACAGAGAATACATTTTCAAGAAAACGCATCATTGGAGGGTTTTGGCCGCTGCTCGATTTTGTGGGAGGCGAACGACCCCAAGTATTTATGATTGAAACCTATTGAAATATGATCAACAATCAAAAAGCAAGACTTGGGGTACTTGGCCTGATGTGGCCTGCTTGCAATTTCCATCTCTGTTACGGGCTGAAGGGAAGGCCACGAAGCATTTTGATTCGATGATCTGGAACCGCCAGAAAATCAGCAACAAGACCAGAGCACGGAAGAGCACGGATTGACATGCGATGCTTTAACAAGTACGAGAAGTATTTGGATAGTTCCAAATCTTGGCTCGAGAAATCTCAACGGTAGTAGGGATCTGCGGTGACACATCAACCATCGAGAACCCAAACATGTCATCAAATCGCTTCGCCAAGAAACGTGACAACCATGCTGCCGAGCCGGCCTCACTTGTGCCATGACATGCCATGGCTATCTTGCTGGCTTCAAGCCATCCCCAAAAAAGATGCTCAGTTGGGATCATCCTCTCACGTTTGGGGATTAAAAGGATTGAAGAGGCACATATATGCCAAGCCTGATTGATCTTTAAACTTTAAATCATGACAAGGATTCGACATAATTTGAGGAATGAGGATCAAGATGGCTGAACCTTCTCGGGCAGTGGCCAACGGATGCGCCTGACGGCCGTCAAGGCATTGGGCGCCATCGCGCCAGAAACACCATGCAGTGACTGCAACGTGATGTGGAAATTTAGCCGGCAATTGGTGGGGTTGTGGCTGATGAACAACTCAATCAACCAGGTATGATGGTCTATATGATGATGTGAAACAGTGATATATGATTCATGATGTACTCAACCAAAGTGGTACAAGTACTGTTCAAAAGCGGTGGCTGACACCTTCTGATGCTGATGTTCACATCCCAACAATGCACTAAACAAACAATGCTTGCATGTTGATCCGGGCTTTTTTTCTAAGGGCATTTTGGTTCTGATACATGCCCAAACTGCAACGGGGATGATCTTGAACACGTATGCGAATGTATCGAAAAGCTGGGGTTGCAGCAACATATATTAAAATTCAGGTGTAAATAGACAACTTTGAAAGCGTGTGGACGCATGGATGTTTCTTGAAGTGGGGATCAATTGGGCTCTCACTCTGGCCATCTGGCCATGATGCAATTGACCATTAGGACAGCCACTTTACCCATCGGTCAGAGAGTTCAGCCGCTGCTGACTTTCCAAGAACATGTTGTTCACTTGGGTTTATTTTGTCAAGCTAGAGGTCCCACTGATTGTTGAAAATGTTTCCACTCCAATCTGACGGGACAAAAGAAGCACGTCCCACAATGATCCTAATGCGACAACTCTGAGGCATCTGTCTTGAGCTGAGAGCCAAATGCACTGGCTTGCCAGTGCCAGCTGAAAAAGGATTTGCCGAATGCCTGATGCTCTTGCGAAGCTTTCCGAACTTTTGAGTATCAAAGTGAAAGATTTTATAAGCTTTGACATATCCGTAGTCATGGCTGTTGACATTGAATCAAAGCAATTGCAAGACTTATCTAACTTTGGAACAAACCATTATGTAACCAGGAATTTCATCAGTGCTAGAACAAGAATCCATTGTTTTTCATCCCTGAGGTTTCTGACGTTCCCGTCTCGAGGTGTGAGGCCTGCGGGTGTCACGCAGCCAGCTGATGTCAATAGTGCTACTGCTAGTGGGTAATTTCGAAGGCCGATCAAATGATTTGGAAAGAAATCTCTGGATTTAACCAGCAGAAACTTGGGTTTGAAGCTGGCGATTAGATCATCTAGATTCTAGAAATATGGGGGTTGAGACGACCAAGGAAAGGAAAAGAACTAGTGTGCGTCATAAATCTATTTCTGTAGCCGTCTACACAGCAACCCACTGTAACAGGGTCACATAAGCATCAGCAGCAGGATAAAAATGGAGATTTCACCAGGACCTCTTGCTCTTACCGCATCAAAAACAGGACTTTCACACAATTTCGCTGCTTCATGCTGCTTCACTGTACTGTTGATTCGCTGGGTAAAACAATCCGCAGTGTTCCAGCTGGCCATGAGCCGAAGCTCCATGGACAAAATCCGACAAAGATCCATGCGGAACTGGCCAGCTGGATGCAGCTGGATGTCGCAAACATCACGGGACGCTTCAAACGCAACTCTGGTGTTCATCAGAAAGCCGTCTTGGTGGCAAGGAGCGGCCCCAATGCATGCAAGCAGGTCGCAAAAAAACAAAAACCCTTGCAGGCAAATGAGAAACCAGTCAGATTTTCTAAAATCTATGTGTGTTTCAGGAATCGCCAATTCTTGATATCTTGAAGCTTCGGAATCCAATTTATATAGGTGATCTTTTGGGGGCATGGTGGTTTGTGCAATTCTTGGGATGATGAAATATGTTAATGACCATATATCCATTGCATTCCATGGCAATATCGCAAAAAAACTCGAAAGTTCGGATATGTTCTGATGACCCCAGTCTAATTGTCACAGTCGCTGTCATCCCTTCAGGATGAGGACGTGCCCTAGAAGCACATCACTCACGGCGGTATGTCCTTGGTGGAGCCAAGAGAAACCAGGAAATTGGGCATCAAAAACCCTTCAAAACATAAACGCGACCCATCAAAATCCTTTCCAGTTTGGTCAATGAGGACGGCTGCGCATCCACGAAAGTTGCCACATTTACCTGCGATGACATTACTGTTTCTGTCACGGTTAGGTGGAACTCTCCTGCTGGCAATATACCACCTATCCCCAAATGATTTTCGAAAGTCTGGTCAATTGATGTCTACCTCCACAAGTTGGGAACCCGGAGCCTAGCACGTTTTACTATGTTTTACTTATCCGATCATGATCACTACTACCCGTTGGAGGCATTTCGGAAGCTATGCCCAAAGCCATGCCAGGATGGGGTCCTACCAAGTTCTTCGCCATGGTATGGTATGGTGTGCCATGCATGTGATCAACAGCGTTAGAATGTTGTGCTCCCTGCAAAGTTGTCTTCTGCCCAGTTCAAGCATTCCAGTGGCCTATAAATACAGGGATGCACACTGCATATCGATGGTCTGCAAGGTGGGATGGTTCCAACTGGCCTATATCAATGATCTGCCAAGCTTCAAGATGTAGTTGGTATAGACCTGCTCCTCGTCAAAGACCACGAACTCGCGAAAGGTGCCTATTTGTGGCAGAATAGCAACGGCTGTGGGGTCAAACCATGTCAAACCAGCTATTGGTTAACCAAGAAATTCAAGGAAGAGTTGGGATCAAAGGCCATCGCCTGTCTAAAAAGACATCAAGTGATCAAGCGCTAAGCCACAAATAACACACCTCCAAGAGATTCTGATTCACTTTTTCAAGTCTGATTTTTGACAAAGTAAGCATCTCCCCCGTCCTCAGAAGGGTTCTTACTCCACACAACCGCTTACTTCACATAATTCTTGAATCACTAAGGACATTCAATTTCTTGGGTCAATTGCGCTTTATGATGCACCCCTTTCTTTAGGTCGCATCCTTTTGTCAAACTGTCACCCTGCTGTTGTCCATTGCCTCGGCATTTCTTCCGATCTCCCAGGATGGAGTGGAATTTGCCTTGGCCGCGTGGACCGTTTAGACTGCTTGAAACTTCAACCGAAATCCGCAAAACTCTTTCTGCCATATCTACCATTATCTATCCTTATCTGGCAAGCACAATTTTCCACGATATCACCTCCCGGATTTTCCTGGTGAATTGCTGAAGGGTTGCTTCTTGACAATTTGCGTATCGACCCGTCTCATAAATATGGACCGCCTTGCCGCCTTTTCTTAACTATTGTAAGTCAGATTTGCCTTTGGGCCAATCACAAATAAATCATGCCTATGAAATCAATAATACATTTCTGGCACTGATGAAATGCATCTTTGACTCATTTGACCGCATTGAACATCATCAAACCATCTACAAACTTTGAAGCACAAAACCAATTCCCATGTGCGTGGGCTGTAAGGGCTCCATGTCTACACTATGCTCTCTAGCCCAGTTCTATTCGTCAGTGGAACATACCGCGCGGCAATACTAAAAGGTACACATCACATCAAATCACTCAGTGACATCTTATCACAATGCACCGGATCAAAGGAATGACAAAGAGATCCCAATTCTACAATCTGAAGGAAGATGAACAGCTGTACCAAGACACCCTTGAGGCAGGCGTCTTCACAAGCACGTGGATCTGTGTCCTGGAGATGGGAAGGAGCAAGGATTGAAGATTGTCCCAAACTTGATGAGTAGGGTTCATAGGTTACAAACATCTTGCAATATGTTGCAATCAAACTCATCAGAAGGCCTTGGTGATGTGGATCCGTGCACGGAAACAATCGCCGCCATTGAATGTAGAACTATCTTTTTACTTTTTTCTGTCCAGGAAACTGTTCGGCTCTCCTTCCCATACTCTATGTTTGCAATAGACATCGGCCCCGCTATGTGGTCATTTCAAAAATCACAATCTGTTGAGATGGAGCATGGCAGAAGCATATAACAAACAATGCAACAACCGGGTAGTAATGCCGTTCACACAACCTTCCAAGGTATGACAGGTCCTTCACGTCACTGTAGAACACACGGCCCAAAGTCACCCGACACAGCAGCAAGTGCCGAACACCGTTTGACAGCGGTGATGCGTACTCGTCACCTCGGTGTCACCAGTGGTTCCTTTATCCTTGAAAGAGTTTGTTGTTAGCATAGATTCGCATAGATGGCACAGTATCAGATCGGTAAGTTAAAACATGATAAAAGCCACTTCTTTACACTCAAAAACATTACACACATGCATTGATTACTTCGACTTTACCTTTTGAGCAACCGAAACCAGACATGGGAAATCCATGAAATCCAAGGACTGCGGACGCTTTTGGATGGGTTTCGTCGAAAATCTTCAAGGTTTACCGAGTTTACCGGACTGCGAGGCACGGGACTCACAACTTCTCTGTGCCGGGCCACTCTTCGTGCTGTTCTCGGAGAAGTAAATGCCCCGTCCGTACAAGGTGCCAGCATTGGAACCAGCCAGATTTACCCTGGGCGTCAGGGCAGGATGATCCTAGGTTTACCCATGTTTACCCTAGAATCCAGCCGTGTCATCAGTAGAGAACATTTGGGTTATTCTCAATGCTTCCAAACCCTTCCTCCCAGCTTCAAAGATGCTTAAAGCAAATAAACAGAAGCACAACAAAAGAATGAGCCTTGGGATGGGACCAAAGGACCACGCCATGACCGTGCCCATCTAAACATATCTAAACCAGAATTTTCATCAGCACTACATTCTCCGTGGACTTGTTGGTTCCGTTAGTTCCGACCATTCTCAGCTGGGGTCAGCTGGGTACTTGTTTCACCCAACCGTCAACATCTGAATCAATAAAATGAATCCCAGGTGAATCGCTTCACATGAAAGAAAATCTCCAACGGGTCACATCCCCGCATCTCCCTTGTTCTACGTAGTCCTCCTTTTCCTAGATCAGTGTGTTTGCCCCCCGACTGCCTACTCTTGGTATTGTGGCTATGAACCAGGATCCTTGTGCATCCTGGTAGGTGAATACCAATACAGTTTGCTTAAAGGATATTCAGATATTCATCTCTCCAAATGTATCCAAATGTCATAATGTCATAATTTGGTAGTATGGCTGTTGACCTATCCCAAGACTACAGGAGTTTGTTTATCCCAGACTTTCAACCGTTGAGGCTCCGAAAATCATGCGTCTTGATCTTTTCTGCCGCTGCTGCACTGGTTCCATGGAACAGGAAGACTTCATTGACTTCGGCCCTCGACCAGGGGAAAACCAAGGGACGGGATGGTGTGCGCGCAAGGATAACATGAGGGCCAACTACATATCATGCATATCAGTATCACGTAAATCAGTATCACCAACCAGTTCTTGGGTTATAGCCGCCAACATGAGTATTTGTATGAAACATCAAAAGACTACGTGGGATATGGTCAACGGGTACAGTAAAGAGGAATACATAATCAAAAATATCAAAGCACGGAGATGCTGCCGAGGAAGGATTGGCGGAAGCAACCAAATGCAACAAAGGATAACCCTCACAACAGAGACATCGGAGGCAAATCATGAATTTGACGGGCATATACAGAACGAACATGAATACATAAACACCAAAACACCCAACGACAAGGATGTAAAATTGGGATGTGACAAACACAATCAATGAACATGAGCCATTAAACGGTGGGTACAAGTTGGTACAGGCAAGAGTGACAGGTACCTGACAGCCATCGAATATTCAGAACTGCTTGGTCGGCAAAGGCCAAACAGAAAAGCCATATCAATGTATATCAATGTGATCTATTGAATTGCAGCCATGGCAGCTGGAATCCGACCACTGACACATGCCAGCTGCCATGGCTTCGAGTAGGGAACGTTTGCAATTGGCCAAGATCAACGGCCCCCCTGACTCTGTGCGTTCACCCTTTGCCCAGCACGCCCCAAGCAATCCAAAGATAAGGCGAGATGCATCAAAGGAGAGGCAAAGTCTTCCTTGGCTGAATTGGAAGCTGCGCAGGCTCTGCAAGGAAGGGTCACCACCTAAAGTGTTCATGTTTTCAACAAGCATGGGTATTTAATCGACTTGATTTACAGTAGATGTGACAGCAGGGATGGCCATCCATGAAATGGGGATTGCTTGCGCTGGACAAACTATCTCGGCTTTTGACACTGCGAAATTGACAATTCCTTCTGGTATAAGGTAAAAACCCAAGTTTGATGATGGCACCTTGCTGAACGGACGACGACGTACAGATGCAGTTGCAGCAACACTCAACCTTCCCAAAGAAAAGCTGCAATACTGATGCCTCTCTGCAAAACAAAGCTTCAAATTTCATCTAGAATCTAGAGCTTCCAAAACTGTGGCAAACAGCTCGCACCTCAATTTTATGCGGTGATAAAAACAACTTCAACAAAACGGCACCTTATAATGCAAGCAGTAACAGCCCAAACTGCAGAAGGTGGATGGTGCGAGAAACAAACACACCATGACCACCATATTGTACCATATTCGTTGCAGTCGGATTGATGCTTGCAAGTTGAACCCATCCGGCAAGTGTTTGTCCATTCCGATTCATTATATTATTCATTATCCTAAGGAAGGATTGCAACAGTCAACATTCTTGAATCCACCCTCTGTTGTCTATTGTTAATTTCGCTTTCCCCTCCCCTCTCTGATTATTTGGTTTTCACCATTCCAGTAGCTAGTCTTACTGACCACTTCTTGAATTCCGGGCCAATTGGGGGAGCTTTTTGATGCCAATCCAACCAGGCATCCGCCAGGGCCAGCGCGATGCTCTCGGCACTTTCTCCACCATCCTCAAGTGGGTCACCTGCAGTCTTCCCAGACACCACCGACCTGGTCTTAGGTTGTATATGAATATGGCATATATGGTTGCATCATGTTGCGTCATGTTGCATCAATAACAAACAGAAACGCCAGAGGAAAATTCGACAAAATGATATTTAGCAATTTAGCAATATCAAAACATCAAACGGTTTATAAAGCACCATTAATTATTAATCTTTGTGCCTAGCAAGGAGCATGTTGGTTGGATTTTTCAATATCTTGATCAATGTGTAGCGTATATCCCATGTTGACAAAATTGCCATACCTAAGCCTGGCAGTAAAAATCATCTGGCTGGCAGCCCATTTTCATCCATTTTTTCAGTACCTGCTGACATTTTGGGCGTGGGCAACCATCAGATATGTTTTTGTCATCAGACATGAGAACCTACAGGATACATCACGATACTATATTTAGGTTCGACATGTTTCGAATGTATCCTGTCCTTGGCGCATCACATTTTTGGAGCCGATGGCTTGCCCCATCCGGCCTCTGGCAAGGGTGTCCACCTTGGGGCCGGTTGTGAGACGGTTCACTTCCAAGGGAATCCGACCGCACGGTCCAATCAGAAAGGCACACCCCATCAATGATGACAGATATGAAGATAGTATGAAGATATGACTTGGTAAAAGTGTTCGAACACATTTCCTGCAAGACTTGGGGCAATATTAGTTGTCCGTTGACACACGTTGCGGCGCTACCCTAGTACCAGTCACCATTGAATGAGGCTCAGAGTCTCAGACTGCATGGACTTTAGGGCTGTGGATGGTCTGTCAAGCAACCACCTAGCTTTGACATGCCACATGCTTTGACAATGCACTGCAAATTTTGGCTCATACCACCAACCTGCACATGTCCCCCTGAAGCAAACCTTTGGTGGAATTTCTGGAGATTCCAATTTCCAAACATTGATATGACAACTGTTGGCCCATTGGCCCATTTTCGTGGCTGAACTCGACTTCAGGTTTAAACTTGACACCAACCCTGACAGAAGTTTGATTGGGCGAGCACCTGAAATTCACTGTGCAACAAGGCTCACAGCCACACTTTATCTTTTGGGAGTCAACCGGGGAATACCCTGCATTGCAGTTGTCATCAAGAAACATCGTAGCGGTGAAAGTCTGTGATATCAGCGTCAATCTCTCTGCGAACGGCCTGGCAGCGTCCAAGTCGTGGGCAACAAAGAGTTTCTTTTCACTACAGGACACTTTTGAACCACATTATAAATTGAGACATAAAACCGGCACTAAATGTTGTTCACATGCAGTAACCCAACAAAAAACAACACATCTAAACAACTCAAAAATATGCTGACGCTCATGTATTTTCGACTCTGTAAACCATTTAATGTAAAAACACATGTAAAAATACATTTATCATCATTTATCAAACAAAGTCTTTGAGGTGGGGACGCCCCGATACTCCCAGGTTCCCTGTTGAAACCGGGGTGAAAACTCAATCAAACGCCTCAGCCAAATCCATGCTTCCCTGGAACGATGCTGCATCATAGATAACAAGATCATGATTGTGAGATGCTTATCTGATGCCATACACAGACATGTATATATATATATATATAATATAGTATGTTATAGCGATAAAGGATACTTGTAAATCATATTTGCAATCCTCCCATTCTTCATGAAATTTCAATACTCATCTTTCTTTTGCACAGCAATTCATGACCCATCTTTCCTGGTTGAACCCCCATTGTTTGGTGCTAAGACGACCGAAGCCTCTCGGCGTGCCACGTACTGTGCCCAGGACTCGTCGTTGGTCACCGCCGAAACGGTCAGTAGCTGCAGCCTGTAGATATGCCACGGTGATCGAGTGGTGATCGAGTGGTGATCGTAAGACAAGGATAACCATTCTGGCAGTTTTCACGCATGGAATGCGCATGATTGTACCTAAGGTCACTGGATATTACTAGTAGGTTACTAGCTCATACTAGCTATGTGGGGAATGCAGATGCAAGGCTTGGCAACTGCCGCAACTGCCTTATAATTTTCTGGACCTCCGATCTTCACAGATCCGATTCGGATTTCTGGCCTCACCCAACCCTTCAGGCCCTTCACCCTTCAGGATCCTTCAGGACCCACCAACCGCGGCGACCCAACCTCTCTGGCACAGCTTCGCCATTCCGATCTCGGGTGTAAACCTTCCTTAGAAGTGCTGGGAAAATGGGGGAACATTCAGCCCGTAACATTTGAATCACGACCCTGCAAAAGGTGGTTGTCAAGACTTGGGTAAAATGTATGGATGTTCACAGAGCGTCACAGAGCATCACAGAGCCATCCTGACATATGCTGACATCCTTGGTTAGATCGGTTTGGTAATGTTGGCACCAAATATAATTACTATATTATATATTATATATATATATATTATACACATACTATCATTTACTATCTATCTTATCATTCATATCAATCTTGGAGACATCATTCTCATGACCACCATCCGCACTGCATTTGCACTGCACCGCGTGGTCGCCACGTGGCCGATGGGTCAGGTCCAACAAGCGTTGGAATCGGCCGCGGACGTTGGGATCTTCCAGCTCCAACTTCGCCACCATGCGGCCACCCTCCCGTCGCAGCACCATCAAACTGACCTCGTTTCCAAACCCTGGCTGCAATCGGCTGCATGCTCCACATGGTTCGGCACTTTTCCACATTTGTTTGGGTGAAAAGGATTTGATTCGTTATTCATTTGTTGTAAGGGATGGGTCGAACTTGGGGTACGTGCATGTGTAGGTTTAAGTTGACCACATCGCGGTCAACAAATAATACAAATACTTGCCGACATGCTACGTCCTGCAAAACTGCAGTTTGGAGGAACCATGTGAATTTGCACCTGTAACATGGTGAGAATCCTCCTGGCTTGGGGGTTGAGTTGATTTCAAATGGTCAGAAGGGAACATGACCTGCCCGAAGCCAAATCATCATCCAACATTTTCAAAAACATGTCAAACAATTTCTGTTCAAAAGGGCTAATTGCATAAGTTGCTGCATAAGCTTTGACCCATCCACCACATGGCTTTGGACGTCGTGAGTCTTCTGCCTAGGGACATCCCATCCCACTGGCAATTTTCTGAGATCCTCGCAAGGGGGGTGGATCCGGCCGAACGGAGGGCTACAAAGGATCTGGTCCCAAGATTTGTTGGGCAGCTGGCGTAAGGTTCGCTTTTTTTGAACATGCCAATATGTGTCGACCTTGGTTGGATTCCGCAATATTCTGCGCTGTCTTCTGTGATCTTTGGACTGGCAAAGGGCGGGAATATCCATTTGCATCTGCCCAACAATTAGAAAGTGCATGAAAGCCTTTAGAACATTTTAGAACCATCTCAGACTGTTGGTTCGACCTGCAGTCTTACTTGTACAGGCGGTACAGGGTGAAATGTCCCCATCGGTGGGGATTCTAATTTCGGCGATTTTGAATTTCGTGCATGCAGCAATATTAAAGGGGAATCTAAGGTTTGATGGTCGTTGTTTGAAGTAATTATTCTTGGAGGATTGCTCCCCACAGAGGATATTAAAATCCAGCTGAATAAAACATTACATGCTTTAGTTGATGAACCGTCCGATTTGTGTTGTTCTTCCCATTTCTTGTTTAGTGAATAACTACTCTGATTATTATCTACCTGAATGGGTGCCTAGCTTCTTGTCAAACAGCAGCTGCCTCCCAACCGGAAATTCAGTGAAATCATCCACAGCCAAATGCCAATTCGCCCAAGTCCCCCTAACATTTTGATGGTCTTTTCATTTCTGCTGATTGAACTCACACTGTCAGGAATCCCTAGGATCCTGTTAAGATAGTAAGTTGTCAGGGGATTATTGCCAATCAAAAAAAAACTTGAACCTCGAAGCAAATACCCACCCCTTTTCGGCAGAAATCCACATGTTTGTTGGTTTCATCATGTTCACCCATTCCATCCAGCAGCAACTAGCTGACCAGCTGTCCCGGCTCCTTGTACTTGCTGACAGCTTCTTCAAACTCTGGCAGTTCTGTGGCATTGAGACCTTGGAAATGATTTCGGTCTAACATGGAGCTGGCTTGTTGGGTTTTGGAAGCTTTTGGAGAGGCGTCAAAATCAAAACCTTTGAGCTTTGAAGTATATTGTTCTTAGATGTTATTGTAGTAACCCGATCGTAAATCTTGTGCATCTCCCACGTGCTGACACAGCAGGGACGGCCTTATCCGGCACCACATTGTGCTGAAGTTGGTTACGCCAGTTATGTTACTCAGGAGCGGCGCCAGCTATCACTTTTGGCCTTGTTTGGTCAACATTTTGCCACATCCCCAGGTTTACATCAACCTCTGCCGGTGTATTCTCTTCGGTATTTCTTCTACGGCAGGCTCCACATCCTGGGTTCCAATCCTCCAAGCCTGCGGCCGTTCTGGGCCTCTGGACGTTTCGCCGCCACCAGCGCGCCTTTGATCCGTTTGGGGTCGGCGCAGTCGATGGCTTCCCGAAGCTGCCGGCGCGCCTACCCAGCTTGGCGGATCGAAACTAACGGGCCGTCCGTTATGAAACCGGTAATACTGACAACCCGTGGCTACTCAGATGCCGAGAAACGATGTCCAACCGCGTTTTAAGCGCCGCTCATGTTGTAAAAATGATGAACTCTCCAAAACGACTCTAAATCTGGGACCGAGTCGAAGATAATCGACTATCTGACTATCTGTTGAGTCTATTGCTGAATTGGGGACTTCCATGCCAGCAACAACCTTCAGAATATTAATATCTGCGGGAGTCTGTCACAAAGAATGCTTGTGTGGCCTGTTGCTGCGCGGCGCTTCGAATGATGGATGGCGCCTGCGACCGTTGTCAACACTCAACGGTGGGGAAGGGAAACGTTGAGACCTGATACAAAGGCGAGAACGTGAGAAATCTTCCGTTCTGCACGCCAAATCCCCAAGGTGGTGATGATCATGGGTTGTAAATATGTGGCGACCCTGATGGACATTGTTTGGCGCCCGATGATGGATGGGCCAACCAATCTTCCGTCCAGCAAATGTGGAGCTCCCGAAATCAGTACGGTCCCCGAGTTGCAGAATTCCTTCAGAAAAGAACAGCGTCGGGATTTAACTGGAAGTCATGGGAGGTCTGACTTACTGTATCTCTTGCTTGCGTCAAACCATAAATACATAAATACCTTCAGTCTTCTTGTGAAAATGTTTCATCCAGTAAGGTTCTCGTTGACCGCTAATCATTGCAAATCATTGCTGGGTGACCAGGATCCCTGCTGGCGCCTGTGCTCCAACCAGGTGGTTTGCAATGGCCTCAGTTCAGTGCCTTCCATGTCAGCGGCATCCATAATATGTATTGGTGGACTGGATGCATGGATTGTTGAAGGGAACCTCTTTTGGAAACACGTGTTTGCTGATTGCCTCCCCATGTTTCGTCAAAGATCTGTTTTGATTGATTCATTCTTCTCTGAAAAGCCCAAAATCAAATGAGCAGCGGCCAACACACGACGCAACGCCAAGAGCAGTCATTGAACGGACTCTGATAGCTTTCCAAGTTATACCACACATCTAAACTATTCCACACATCTGAATGCGGCTGCAGCAGCTGCTGCTGCAAATGGATGCGAAACGAAGCATATTTGCGAGACAGTGCGAGACAATCACATGTTATTAAAAGAAGCAGCCGATATGAACATTGTCGCAGTTTGGCTGCGGACAAATGTCACGGCAAAAGCTCTGGATCACAAGAGGCCAAACCAGCCAGATCATGGAACACAATATATTTGAATTCCACAGGTCCACAGCCAGCAGACATTGGTGATTGTTCACTGGGATAGATTTGCAACATACGCGCATTAAACATCATTAAGAATGAAAATGAATAAACACGCCATTGGATAATTTTGGTTTTTGGGTCTCTGCACAACATCACTTACTAGTCAAGCCCCAGCTGCATTGTCCAGGAGTTGATTCACCATATGGTTGTCATGCCTGGTCAGGTTTGTGGCTACGACTTGGCAACAGCAGCACACTGAAAAACGTTGAAGATATTGAAGATATCTTAGTCCTGCCAATAAAAACAACATCAAACCATCCAATGTTCAGTCTGTTCAGTGCATACAACTTCAACGATGCCATCGCAAGCGGTTGTTGATGGTTGTTGATTGTCTCACATAATACACAGAAGCATTCCCAAGACCCTCTTTCACATATTATTGTAACGGCAGTAATGCCCCAGCTCAGGCCAGCAGCTGCAGTACATCTCGAATGTTCCAGCCCTCTATTGCCCTAGATGCAAATGGCAAGCATCCCCAAATGAACAGAATGGGTGCTCGTCCGATGTTCACCAAACCCATCTCGCGGGGACATTCGTCTGGACCAATGATGATTTGTTGGTGAGACCATGTGAAACCTACCCATCTTGTTGATCCCTGGCGCCAACATGCACCAACCCACCTTGCTTTTGGTTGGGCAAATGGTAACTGCAAGCTGGAATAATCTGGAAATATCTGATGAATCTGGGAATATGTACCAAATCAGTTGATGCTTTCTGTTGAACTTCCGCGCCTGGCAAGGGCTTCATCCATCTGATTGGTGAGAAGTTTCTGCACCCTGCCACGGTGTCGTGCCAGCTGCGAAACATTTGGAAACTTGGCTTCTGGACCAACTGAACCAACCAAACCAAGCTAGACCTGAACATTCATACATGTTTCCTTTTGGTAAATATAAAACCAACAGGGAACATCAAAGCATATCAGAGCTATACAACCAGTTTTGCCGATGATATCAGATATATCCCAAATTCGAACTGGACTCTTTTTTCGCACAATGGGCATATAAGCCATCATCCACGGCCATCTCAAAATGGTTTAGGAAGCCAATGCTGCGATATTGAACCAAACATTGGTAGCCACTAGTCACTTCAATCATACGGGACTATCCGAAAGCCATCTTCCCGTAGACCAACAAGGTACGTTCATCGGATTGTGGCTTCAAATGGAATGCTAAGAATTTTCAAACTAAGTTACGAAACGTACACAAATTTCTGTTCCTCCCTTCCGCTAATCATTGACCGCCCTCCTGCCAGGAATCATCGATTCTGCTAATCATTCTTTACAAATTCATCCTAAACTGTGCAATTTTTGCGGGAACCAAAACCGTAAACGGTCCAGCTGACCGCCCCATGACCAAAACCTCCATTGTGCCTGGCTGGGGACTCAGCCAAGGTCATGACGCCTTCGCGGGCCTTGCTGGCCACGTCATCCTGGCCATGTCATATGTCTTATCTGGCAAGCAATGGGGATATAATCAACGATAAATGACGACATTGCCAACAAACAAGGGTGACTGCATGGTTAGGTATACAGTACATAGTGTATATGATCTGTATATATATATGTATATGTATATATATATATATATATAATATGTATATATATATATCACGGTAACTACATCTAAATATACGATTTTTGCAATATACGAACTGGTATTTAAGACTACCTCCCGGGAGGGTTTTCCTTGGCCCGCCCGGCAATTTAAACACACGGAATCCAATTTAACATACATTTAAATATATGGATGGAACTGTGTGTTTCATACTACCTCCGGTGCCTTGTAGTCTGGCCCGCCCTCCACATATTTAAATGTTGTATAAGTGTATCTAAATTTGGGATGACATGGGTGAATGTTTAGGCAGGCTGAATTGAATCCCGGTCCTTGAACTCTTCCACCCCAGCTCGAAGTGCGTCAACACCATACTGCCTCATGGCGGCCGTAGCCCAGCAATTGGCGTCGCCCACTGATTGTCCCGGTTGGTTGATCACGTTTCCAAATGAAACTGGAAAAGGGATGGAATTGATGGAATCTTTAAAGATCATTTCTAGCAATACTGGAAGCCTCTTCCAGAATATAGGCGAGCATGAATTGACATGAAGATACAAGAAGGCTTTAAATTTGTCATCAATGATGTACTCAGCCTATGCATAGTTTTTTTCTCGGTATGCTGTCAAAAGGATCTAAACCGCACGTTGGATGGGCGGTTCTGTTGTGCAAGTGACCACCGAATCTCTGGGCCCTCCAACCAAAAGTCTGATCGAACCATGTGAAAATTCTAGGGCGATAAATTGACAAACAAACAACGTGTGCTGGCTGTCCCCAGTATTCTTCAATTGGTCGCGGTTGCTGGTGATTCTGATAGTTGTGCAAACACCGAGAATTGAAACTTCTGTTTAAAGTTTAAATGTTTTGTGCAAAAACATTGCTTAAGTTTCCGCATATCCCAGTCTGTATGAAACTGCAACTCTTGCAAAAGTCTTGCGAAAGCGTCCAATTCTAGCCGAGTGGCAAGTCTTTCCTAAGCAAAGGGGCGTGAGGAGCATTTCAGCTATACTTATATAACTTACAGCTTGAGTTCTTTGTGCTGGAACGAATGCCACTGTGAAGGCATTTCCTCCAAAGGGTGATTCTCATCGCGCGGAATCACCTCCGTTTTGGGTACATGAATGGCAAAAACCATCTAACCTTCATCTATGATTCCTACAGCTGGACCTGCAAAAATCCAATGGGATTCTTGGTGTGGTATTCGTGATGCGTCCATGAAGTATCTGACAAGCTCGGAAGCAGTGCAAGCTTTGACTCCATACACATGTTAGCGCATTCCGCATTCCCTACCCATTTTCACCCCGTTGTTGCTGAGATGTTTTGCTGGGATTGTAATTTATATTATTGCTTGAGCACGCACTGTTGCTTCCAACGTTCAAACTTGGGATGCATGATTATGATTAATTATGTCCCATCGTTTCGGTTTCTGGTTCACACTGAGGGGCGCCAACTTCGACTGCTCCTCTTTGGCTTTGCTATAGCCACCACGCCTGGAAGGCTGGCCAACACGGCGAGATCACCCGCAATGACGAGATTTGCCAGGGACGATCGAGTCAAATCATCGGCATGCAAAAACATGGAAGGGTTTCAGAAATGTGGGTCGATCGTGTCTGGCATGAGAAAGCACGTGTTGAACACAGTCAATCATGGAACTTGAGTTTGTTCACCAAACATGGTGCTATGAGGAAATCAACATTTGAATCCATTAAGACGAATATACACAGCAGAGTGATGAACCAACCATGTCTGGTAGTAAACTCCCTACTGTATGGGGACCCCATATGTTTGCGACATACCCAATAATTATCAAACCCAGATTCTGTGGTCCACCGCAACCAACAACTGCACTTTGATCATGTGGTCACCAGTGGCCAGCGCCAGCTGTCAGAATTGCGTGGAAGTTGGCCTGCCCTTCCCAGATGAAAACATGTGATGCTCTTATTTGTTGAAGAACGTAACATTCCTTGTAATTTGGCCAAAACTTGATGACATTAGTTTGTTTTCTTGATTGAAAACCCCTTGTGTCCACAATTCTTCTGGACTATATACGGTACACTCAGGCCCCGGTATCTTACGTGACGCATGCCCTTTCCCGGCCACCCCAAGATGCAGTGTTATCAATCCTTGCCGTAGAAAAACAATCAGTTCCCCAACCCAAACAGATCCAAACTGAGTCGAGCTGCATATCCTTCCTCAAGGCACAGGGTGCGGGCCACATGTGTGTTGGGAGAATGATGCCCCAAAGGGGGATATCACAAGAAAAAGGGAACATAAATTCAAACAAATGTAACAACAAAAGAACAGGGAAACGGTAAACAGAACATAAAACCAACGGCCTGCAACAGAAAGCGGATGAAAGTGTTACCAAGAAGACCCTTATCCAAAGGATTCCAAAGATATACTACTCTACAGGATTTACAGATAAATTACAAGTATAAGATGGTCAATTCGCCTCACGCAGATTCTCAAAAAAAACATTGTCAAGAGGTGCCCTAAGATCCCTAGATCAGGAAGTTGCCCCCGCAAACCATGCATTTCCAAGGTATAAATACAATGCCGTACCCAAGATCTTTTAAAAGACTTTCGTTGGTTTCCCACATTTTGGACCAGCCGAGACATATCCCGGCCAGTGCTTACCCCACGTTTCCTTCGCCAAGATTCATCACGCTGTCAAAGGCTCTCCCCAATGAGCCAAACATGGCGTCCAGTTGGTCAGGCGCCAAGGCGAGGAAAGGACAGTGAGAAGCTTGGGATGGTCATGGAATTTAAGGATCCATGTCATTCCACGGCAAACTGATTGAGGTACATGGGAGACACACGCCATTGAAATTTACACACCACTTTTGTGGGGAGATCGAATATGGAGGTGTTTAAACGAGTTGTGATGGGGCCCCGCAACCATCTGAGCAACTTTGTGCCTTTGCATGTGATAAGCATGTATCTGAGTCCTTTTTGAACAATGGTTGAATGGTTCAGTCGCATTTGATGATGCATTCTCACCAAACATGATGTTCGAGGTGTATCGAGGTGTCGTATTTAGCTTCAGAATCTGAGACTGTTCCCACTTGCTCTGGTCAATCGTGGAAAGCTGCATGAGCTGTTTCTGCTGCCTACTTTGGGTGAGCCACTGGATAGTCAGCGGATAGATTAAGGTTTTCGGTTCAGGTGTTTTCCCCTGAAACCCACGCTTGACGACAGGAAGAAGTAATTGCAGTACTGGGTGGTCCCACTTGGATGACCATCCCACTGAGCAGCCAAAAGGACATTTAGGGCACCACAGCAGATGGGACCCTACACCATCCATCACCATCCTGCACCCTTGTCAGTAGGATTCTGACAACATCTGACGAGGGATTCACCCACCTTTTGAGGGATCCCTCCTCCAATTGGCGCATTTGAAGATGAGGTACAGGTTGCCGAGCAATCCCCTTTCACATTTTCATATTGTTTCTGCTCAGAACTCTCTAACCTTCCAGCCCCAGATATTCCCATGGTCAGCCTTGACGCGATGCTTGGGATGGGCGGGATGCGTCTTGAGAACTTGACCTGGCAGCAATAACTCACAAATTCACAACGGCTACATGAAATTTGATACCTTTATCATCCTTTATCATACATAGACACAAACACAGACAGATACATATGATTGGTACGTCCCCCAAACCTACCTTTTTGCGATTTACATGGTATTCCACGATGTTTTGGGAGGGGGGCTAGCACATTGAGACACGTACTGTTGCACACACACACACATGTACATACTTTGTTTATTTGAACTTGTCATGAAGTGCTATCATGCCATATATAAGTGTTGAGCTGAATTCCCAAATTTCACAAGGATTGTGCCTGATGCCGTGTGGCTAACGTAGATGATGCCAATCCGTGGAAGATCCCAGGGTTGAGGGTATGAAAGCTACTCACTTCTTGAGCGCATCTAAGCACTTAGCTGACTTCACCAAGTTCACGGGTTATTTGGATCATGCTCAGAGACACATTGAGGATTTGCTGAAAGCCTTACCCGTTCTTTGTGGCTCAACTCCCCTGTAATCTGATCATGCCAAAATGCATGGCACATTTTTTGTGGTGATTAAACACCCCATAGGCATGAAGGTGATAACCCCTTAATAGCGGCAGCTACCATAAAGCGCTATTGAGTCTCAGTACTGCTATATTACTCATGTTTTTCAGATGTATCATTTAGGTTGATGAAATTTTGTGGTGTGTATTACTGCCAGTGTTTGAAGGATGCCAACTCTAAAAAATACTATAAACAGTGGCTTTCTGAATGTCATCCATTTTGAACGCCGAGTGCAGATCTTTTGGCATCTGCCATTCAAACGCTCTGAACCATCGAAGCGAGACGCCGGTTTTGGTCGTGTCACAGTGATGCAAGACGGTATTCTACAGAGTATGCTGTATCCATTGAAGTCCATCAAACCACATGGTTTTCAAGTGCTTTCAAGGGTTTAGCACGTTCTGAACCCACGTGAGATGCAAGCCTTCAACATGGATTTGGGATGACAAAGACTAACACATTCAAGATGCATGGAACTGCTCCAAAGTCTCAAACATAGAAGTTGTATCTATCAACTTATCGCCGAACACGAGCCACCGGTACCCTCGATTCGTGGTGCGGATCAACCTTCAACTCGAAACAAACTCTTTCATTCTGTAGCCGTGGATCAGAGGAATGACTGTCCTTGTTGGGAAGATAAGACACATGTTCTCTGATGCATTCCTTAGGATATGGCAAAAATGAGCATGCAATATTAATTCGTGTAACTAGAACAGAATGGGTTTCTTTAAATAGTTTTTACGGATCGCATTGGCGATGACAAGGACAACATGCTCAAGGGTCCAAGCCCCCTTAAGCCCTAATGGTTTTAAATTTTAAGTCCGCTTCCAAATTTCAGTGACTTATAATGACTTATACAATCTCATACATACAAAAAATCACTTGGATAAACCTGTTGGATCCTGTTGGTAACATAGACATAGTATAATAACACTCTGCCCTATGTCTACAGCCCCCCATGGATCCGCACCAGCGGTGTGAGACATTGCAGCACACTGTCGTGTGACCGGCTGGGAAACGCCAGGTGAATCTATCAATTTCTTTCGGACCAATTCATAATTCAATTTTTACCCATATTAAATAGGATGAAATCATCGTCTTATTGTGGGGAACCTCATGAATCCATATGAATCCACCAAAGTGCTGTTGAGGATCATCCTTGGCTTGGTGAATTCTCATGACCGGGGTTGCCCTAAAGAATATCGCTGTTCGCCAGCTGCAAGTCCCATGACTTGGTGGTATACATCAGTGTGTCAGTAGCTTGTTACTGTACATACCTTATAATACCTTTCATGCATTGTGATGTATTGATACAATTGTATTTCACCCCAATCTTGTCCGGTTGATTGTCAGTTACGTCGCACTTCCCCTGTCTTACTGCTTACATGTATATATATATATACATACAAAAAAATGGTTATGGATGCATTGTCGCTGTCGCTTCATGCTTTGCTGAAGAAACTCTAGGACCCTAGGAATCACTTTTGCAGGCCTGACTTGGATCACAGCACTAACCTTCAAATGACCGCAGGTTTCCACAGCAGCAGATTTCCATGGTTCAGGGGGCTCTGTCACCTCAAACGGTGCAACCCTCAGGTGGTTGGTCACCAGTTCTTCCATGCTCAGGTAGATGGGGGCAATATTCATCCTTCTTAGGATCTAGGCCCTTAGTTCTGGAGGTCGTATAAGTAGGAGGTTACTTGTCTGGTCCATGGGTGTGGCTCCAGCACAGTGTAAAGACACACAGATTGGCACAAAGATTGGCAATCTTTCGCATCAAACATTAAACCACTGGAGCAATATCTTGCAATATCTTGCAATTGTGCAGGGTTCCCAACTTGGAGCAAGACCCATGGATGATGTATGGGCTTCTGGACAAAACCCCTGCAAAATCTTGTGCTGCACTAACTGGGTAAGTTGTGAGGCTCACCAATCTTGACATCATCCCGACGATGCAAGCAGTAAAAATATGTAAAAATCACAAAATGTCAAAGGTTTCACAATCCATCGAGGATCTTCTGACTATTTTGCCAATTTCAACGACCTGGAGAATGACTTGGATGGACAAAGCAGTGGCCAAAACTTCATCGAATATCCCTTCAGAGTGTTTGGTTCCTGGGGTGTTTGTTCAGTCCACGACAGAAAAAGAAAGACAGAAAAAGAAAGACATCACAGCCAAAGGAACTGGCCACTGCCCAGGTGTCGAATGGTTCAATGATAGATTTTCAACATGTTCAATTTGCTCAAAATCTAACTAATGGTCAGTATTGGAAAACGAAACACGCGGCAAATTGGAAAAAACCTTACATACTATATACCAAATTGGGCCATCAGTCATGAACAATAGTTTCTTGCAAAGCAATAGAGGTGTCATCCAGATAGTTAATTCGCAAGAATTCTCACCATGCTTTGTCAACCCTTGCTTCAAGATAACGAAATAGAAAACATAATCCTGCAAAAACAGTGGTTCGTTGCACCAAACCCTTGAAGATCAATTGCCACCCTGCACAATCTTCGTAATCATGTGGATAGTAAATCAAGATCAATAAGGTAATGTTTCAAGCCATGCTAGTCGTGTTTCTGAGTCAATCCATGCAGTTTGCCTTATTGACACAAGGGTTCAAACAAGCGACCTATCATTCATTTCTCAGGGTATCTCAATTCACCTCTACATACTGAATAATTTGAACAAACCACGCTATGACTATGGATTGGATTGGTAATTTGTGGCAATTTAATCATACATAATTACTCAGCTTGAACCAGTCTATCAGCTTCATCTTGACCCTGCAACGGCCACTTGCCTGAGGCTGGGCCCACCCACTGGTGGGAACGATCTACTTGTAAGCTGCCTTCAGGGCCAAACCACCGGGCCAAGTATCCTCGTTCACATTCAAAAGAGTTCAAAAAGGTACAATAATATGGGGATTTTCATCCACTGAACCGGGGGTTGAATTCACATATTTCATCTGCAGACATGAACGGGCGCAAAATTTGACTCATCACCAACACCAGCTCATGCCTGGCTTGGATTCCCCCTAAGATGTTGACATGACCCATCGTTCCCTAGACCATGACAGCTCAAAAGATTCCCGATCATCATCAGCAATTGCAGCATGTGTTTCAACGTCTTCCGTTTTAAAGCTATCTACTCCCTGGCAGCAGCAAAAACCGAACATGCTCACGTGCGTCTGCATCAAAATTGCACCGAAGGAAAACACAGTTGAGATATCACCTCCCAGTAACCGTTACCGTATATTTACATACTAATTTGAGTATACAAAATTGTACACAACTAAAAACTAAATTTGATTTCCGAAGGATTCTTAATCGCTTGAAGCTCACGCCTGCGCCGTGCTGATGATCTCCGTAAAGGTCGGCTTCAAGGAGGCACCGCCTACCAGGAAGCCGTCCACATCCGGCAGCTCGCCCAAGGCCTGGAACTCGATTGCTGGTTGAGCTGGAGCTGCAAGGTGTGTTTGTAGATACTTTAAGATAGGTTAAGAAAGTTTCAGAATGTTTAAGATAGTTTGCGGTAGTTTCAGAATGTTTAAGATAGTTTGCGGTAGTTTCAGAATGTTTAAGATAGTTTGCGATAGTTTCAGAATGTTTAAGATAGTTAGAGCATGTTTAAGATAGTTTAAGATAGTTTGAACATGTTTAAGATAGTTTCAGATAGTTTAATAATGTTGAAGAATGTTTCAGATAGTTTAAGATAGTTTAAGCAGGTTTAAAATAGTTAATGATAGTTTAAGAATGTTTAAGAATGTTTCAGAATGTTATAAGAATGCTTAAGATTGTTTAAGATTAGTTGAAGCATGTTTAAGAATGTTTAAGATAGTTTAAGCACGTTTAAGAATGTTGAAGATAGTTTAAGCGTGTTTAAGATAGTTTAAGAATGTTTAAGATAGTTTAAGCATGATTAAACATGTTTAAGATACTTTAGGATAGTTCAATATAGGTAGTTTAAGGTAGTTTAAGCATGTTTAAGCATGATTAAGATAGTTCAAGATAGTTTAAGATAATTTAGGATAGTTTAATATACGTAGTTTAAGATGGTTTAAGACAGCTGAAGCATGTTTAAGAAAATTTAAGATAGTTTAAACTACTTTAGGATAGTTTAATATACGTAGCTGAAGATGGTTTAAGATAGCTTAAGCATTTCAAGATAGTTTAAGATAGTTTAAGATAGTTTAAGATAGTTTAATATACGTACTTCCAGATGGTTTAAGACAGTTTAAGATAGTTTAAGATATTTTAAGCATGTTTAAGCATGTTTAAGATAGTTTAAGATAGTTTAAGATAATTTAGGATAGTTTAATATACGTAGTTTAAGATGGTTTAAGATCATTTCACCTAGAGGGATGTCGTGATATCTAAAAAAATCATTCGAACGTCCACAGAAAACCAGTAACGGGAAGGAAGAAACGTCGAACATCGACATAGAATCACAACAACTGGACAACTCTAGCAACCCCGAAAATATAGACAAGTAAAATCTTATCAAAAGCGGTGATAGTCTGCGGGGTTGGCCCGAGCATTGGTACAAGATGTGTAAACAAATGTCACTTAGCAATCTACTTTTCCAACAAGTCAAGTAAGTTTAGAGGGTCCCCAAATTAGAGGCACATTTTTGTATAATGGTTGTATCTGATGTACATCTTGGGTAGAAAGGCCGTACCTGGAAGGTAAGTGAAACCTCACGGACTGATCTACAAGGTGGCGATAACCATGGCGACTGGACCGTTTCTGCCATATCCTGCCATGCATTGTGATCTATCTGTAGAATTCTGTAGATCTATAAGGATAACAAGTGAAATCATATGAAATCATCAAAGAGTAACTGGATCCCTTAGTGTCTTTCCTGTAGCACTGGATCGAACCACCGCAGCCATCGGTGCCTTGCAGTTCTTCTCGTTGGCAGAGCCACCATAAATAATTCGCACTTTTTCCTGGGTGTTGAAGGTGCAGGGTCTGACCAAAGGAATCACAAGGAAAAACATCGAAAAAACGGTTGTTGATAATGGTTGTTGATTCATGTTGATTCATGATGTTGGCAGCTTCAAACCGACTTGACAATAGCAAAACCTTGGCACATTACGTCTCACCCAAGTAGAGATGGATCAAAACCTGAGAAATTCAACGGTCATGACAGCGCTTCTACTGAGTCCTTGGATTTATAATCATCCATTATCACATCAATTTTTTCTTTGCTCCTGAGATAGAGGAGCTTTGGGAAGCTTATTCATCGCTGGGGTCCTTTTGCTCAACATTTCAAGTCCAAGAATCGGCAATGTCTGCTCCGCACTCGTCACGGATGACGCGGCGAACCTGTCCAAAGTCTTCTAGGGCGGAAAAGATGAGACTGTAAACTCAGCCCGGACAAACCCCAATCCATACCAATCCAACACAATCCAACATTTGAACCAAGAATGACGGGAATAGAATAATCATCAGGGCAACCTTTCAAACCAATGCCTGTTTCTTTCAGTGGCTATCTCAAGCTTTATACAAACACCCAAATGGGTATCCATTCCAGTCATGGTATCGTGACCACTGCCATTTTCATCCTTTCCGACACAGTATCCTCTTCGCCATGCTGATTGGGTTCATTGCATATCTACACCACTAGCGTTGATGAGGAGTGATAAATCGATCCGGATAGTTGCTCTCCCCCACATTTTTGTGCAAAATTTGGCTCCATCATCATACAATCTACTTCTAGTATCATCCAGTATCATCCAGTATCCCTATCCCCCTGGCACCTGGTATTGCGTGTCCTGCGCTTGCAGTGGTGTGGCCACCACCCCAGTACCAATGGCCCAGACTGGCTCCTGAGACTACGTTGCACCGACTGATGACCAGAGGCTCCATTCTGCTCCAAGTCGCCTTTTAGTATACCGATCTTTTTGGCTTATCGCAGCTCAAACATATGGCAAACTGGGATAACATGTTGATAACAGCACCCTAGGGAACTTTGGCTCCGGTCACATGGTGTTCCCAAACTGTAATTTTCCAACTTTAGATGCAGTCAGAAAGAGATGAGACGCAAGATCAACATAGCAGGCCCTCCCTTCATAAGGCAGGCCACGCCTAGAATCACCACAATTTTGCATACAGTAACTTTACTGGGGTCCAAATGAACCATCGCTCGTGCAGCCACGTGGTGGAGGGCCAAAACCCAAATATAGCTTGCCCCACAACCAGAAAGGGGAAAGTTACTGAAAGGCAACGGACATCTGCATGTTCTTTACTTCTGGACTCTCAGTTTCCTGCTCCCCAGAGAAACCACCGGACACTTGCTGGCAAGGTGCATAAGCAATCACGATCTTGTCCCAGTCTGTGATAACTGGAATCACCGCCTGTGAGCCAAGCTATGCCAAGCTTACATGGTGAAGCCAGGTCATTGGGATATTGCCCGAAATTGTAGGAACCTCAAAAAGAATGGAGAACGATTCTACAGTAAAGACGCAACACAGCAACACCATATCCCACCCTCTGCTGTCGCCTTCATCTGCTTTTCGCACACTTCGGTGGTCTTGCCACTTTGGCCTCAAACATTTCCACGGGTCCAACAAACCTCCATCCTTGTGGCCTTTCATGCCAGAGATGGAGGTGAATGGAGGTGAAATGGCGAAACAATGCCAGGTTTCATTGTGTTGTGTTCGATACCAAACTCCACAAACCCCCACGGCCATGGGGCGTTCAGCCAATTGCTCTCCAATGCAGAAGACGACGGTGAGACCTCACACATCAGGCTGACACAGGCACGGGCTCATTGCTGAAATCCTAAGCTTGGATATACTAGTTGAAAGAAATACATCAATATAAATTTGCTTCTCTTGGAAGTCAGAAGTTAAAATATATTCAAATCATATACAATCAGATATTTCTTACTGGCTGTAGAATATTTTCAGTCTTGTTGGTTCATTTTTCATAGGTCATATTGGTCATATCACTCATCATATCATCTCATATCATGTCATATCATGTCATATCATATCGTATCATATATTATTGTATTATGTTTCATCCTGTGATCATTGTGATCCAGCTCTGTACCAGTGCTCGCAGTGCTAAGCTTGAGGCCCTTGTCCAAGGCTGCCTCCGGCGAGATGAATGATCGTGGTGAGAAGTGTTTATCAAATGTCATCATGCTATACATAGTTTATTCATATTCATGTTTATTCGGTTTATTCATCGCCCCGCAGTTGATTTTTAAGGATATAACAAGTAGCCTACGCTGGTTTGGTTGCAAATGTGACAACCCTATATAAGCAGCTATATCACCTTGTAGTTGGTCATCATGATATTTCATCCGCTGGCAATGTTTTGTCTTTGCCCATTCGCAGCTCTCTCCACACCGTGCGACCTTCGTCTTGGCGGCACAATCCTCGTCGGTTTCACCGTACAGGGATCGACGCTCTGAGTGTCCCACCAGTACGTACCTGGGTGCGATTGCAGGGCAAAAATCATTCAGTGAATGGGCCATCTTGAAAAAAAGTGTCAAACTGGATGTTGATCACCTTTTGTGCCAAGTTGCTGATATCACATCTGATACCACCACATATCATCACCATATACTAACTGCTGTACCGGAAATGAATGTATCTCCATTCATCTCCCGATTTCTTAGGGGTTTCTTGGTCGTGCAAATCCAAGGTGGCTCCAGACTAACGCCGAGCAACTTGATCCCTGCGTCTGCCACTTGTCCCGCAGAGACTTCACCGGTGAAGGCACCTTCGCCTGACAGTGAAAATTGATGAAAATTGATGAAAATTGCATTGTATGACTTGGTATATCACCGATAGCTGGTGAGTGGGAATTTTTCAATGATCATTTTGTCATTGTCATCCACTAGATAGAACCCCTACAAATCCCTACGCTCTTCGAAAAGCTTACACGGCAGGAAAATCTGCCCAAACTTGGTGAGACTTTTGGGGTACACAACTAGCAGTGCAGTGGAGTCTTGACAGGCCGGGGTAGTGGAGAGGGTTGGTCACGATCTGGTGAATTCAGGTATTCCAAACAACCAACCAATCAACCATTGGCAGAACACTCACTTGACCACTGACAAATCCAAATGGGGATTTCCCTTTATCTGGAATGATTCTAGACCAGAAATACATCTTCACCCAACTTGCAGCTATATGCAACTATTTGGTAATATCATCCCAAACATAAACCATGAACTCCTGAGGATTGATGAGGATTGATTCCTTCCAAATTCGGGCCTGTCTTGCTCATGTTTTGCACCCCCAAGTGGATTGCAGAGTCGCCGGCCAGGCACTCCTGTGACATTTTGCTCCAAATTGGTTGCAGAACGTTGCAGAGTTGAGGATGCACCCGTCAGCGTTGAGGGGCTGATGTTTCATCAACCCGAAATGATTCAAAAAACATCTAAAAACCATAGACAAAGTTGCCTGGAAGCACCAAGTGATTGGTATCTTGGCAGTTTTTAGCCTTCGCATATAATCCATTTGGGGTGCCAACAGTTTTGACTGACCACTAGAAGTGACCAAAATTCTTTTTCTCAACCTTAAACGCCCTTGAGTGGTTAATCACCATAGACTTTTTCTTGCTCCATCTCCTGCTTTCGTGGGTGTCATCACCACTTCCATGGGTTCTACCCACCCTACAACTCATCCCAGCCCCAGCTTCCCCACCAAGACCTGTGCAGCAGGGATATGAATGGTAGGTGCGAAGATCGCCACATCCACGGATTTGGGGTCTGCGCCCACGCCCTTGAAGGCCTCACTTTCATCTGGTAATTGATTGAAACATTTAGAAAGCCGTTCCAAAAATACTTACTGGGATATCATCTGCCGGATGGTGAGAGTCAAGAACATATTAAACATCACCAGCGATCATCCGTGCACACAACTGGCCCTCTGGCTCAATAATCTGGTACGGTACCAGGGGAGCCAGCAATGTCTGAGCATTGGGTGAATTTTGGCTGATACCATGCCGATGAGTGGTGATGGTGAATCAGCCTCTGCTCTTAGAGCCCGGAACACTTCACATGGCAACCCAAAATAGAGCTACTTGTACACATAACTATAATATATATATATATAATATAACAATGTATTATAATATATCAAACATTACATGTCCTTGGATTCTTGACCATGTTTCTTTGACTTCCATTTTTTCAATAGTGACCTCTTGATTCTTGATCCTGCAACTTGACCCAGCTGCACATCTGGGTCCCCCAACGCCCAGCAACTCCTTGACGCCGCTCAATTTGCCGTTGCACTTCCAATTGCCACCCACAAATCTCAGCCACCGAGAGCACACTGAAGCCCGACTTCTGAAAGGTTCGAACCAGGGTGGGTGTTGGATTTAAAATGAACAACGCAGATCTACCCCTTGCATGAACAAATTTTGATTTAAGAAACACGAGTGCATGGAACCAAAATCTCAAACAACAGTCGCTGAAAAACACTTTTTGTAGTGGCCAAGATTGTCTGATAGCTTCGCATTCGTCACATTGAACAACCTCCCTTGAACTGGTCCAACAATGGCGGTGAGTTCTAGCTAGCAAGGTCCGGAAGCGATCAATGAGCCCAGAGCACACAAGCAATAACTGAATTTCACTAGGATGCGTGTTCACAAGAGTTGGATGACCAATTGTCAGCAAAACGCTACAGAACCACCCACGTAGATTGCTGGGACTGAAGATCTCCGGTCAAAATCCAGTGAAATTGGCTAAATGTGATCAAACATTCAAGTAATTCTCGCCCGCAATACCGGAAACATTGCAAACCTTCCCCCCCCACCTTACAAACATTGTGACATAATTATTCAAAAAATAAGATAATGTTGAAAGATATTTTCTTGGTGAGTTTTCTGCCAAGGAACGGCTTGCGCTTCATGCCGAAGGCTGGAGAGCCGATGTTGCGGAAACCGGTGCCCGCGTAGGTGCACCTGGATCCATGGCTGGTGCATGGAAGTGTCAGAATGTGTCAGAGGTCACCCTGGCAACATGACATGAATTCGATGAATTGACATGAAATGAAGAATCTTGAAATATATTGAACATTATTGAACAATCTACAAGCACACACGACTTTAAAAATGCTTGAACGAGCCAACGAATGTGGAGATGTCACCAAAAAAAGATGGGGATATCACTGATCAAAATGGGTCCAGAAGAAAACAACAGGCACATGTGACCAGAGAAAAGCGGGACATTTACTGATCGCATCTTTTTGCAAGAAGCCAATCCCAGCCAAGATGGTCGGATGGGAGTGATCGGAATTGTGGCTGGCAAGCCCACCTTTGCTTCACCATAAAATTAAAAGAAAGCCAAAGAACCCAGCCATACCAACCAATGGACAATTGATCACTTTCAAACATATCACCAACTTCAACATGGTAGAATTCATCCAACTGAATTACTTTTCTTTTGCCGGGCTTAATGTCAAGTAAATACTCCATACTAAGTGCTTTTATGGGCATCTTTTGGGGAAATCAACTATATACTCTTCAACTCGCCAGCTCTCGGCCCGGGGCACTTGTCGCCCAATTCCTCCTCGATACGAAGGAGCTGGTTGTACTTCGACAACCTGCCGAAACTCCGTGGAAACTCAGAACCGACAACCTGGGAGGATCCACGGAGGATCCACAGCTCATTGCAATCTCCTTTGGATCCTCAGATTGTCATTGATTGACGAATCATTGACAAATCATTGACGAATCATTTGATCATTTTGGGAATGATCCGGACACTGTCAACAAGATACTTGGATAATCTTGGATATACTTGGTAGGTTCAGGCCAAACTAAGGCCTTTCTGCGGTCTACATCAGGTCAGATGTCAAAACCAATTATCACGTGAAAGACCCCGAACCATGATCGAACTAGATGCCATTACTTCCATCTCTCAAAGACCAAAACCGACTCAAACATCTTGGATTCATATTGTTTTGACTTATTTTATAATATCTTATATACTTCCTACATCTTCCTACACCTTCCTACCAGTTTACCCCCATCTTTGATGCTACATGAAATCTCCACCGGAGTGCACCTCTCGGAACGACAGGGGGCACCAGTCTTGATCTGTCCAGTGCGAAGACCTACCACCAAATCTGCGATGAAGGAATCCTGGCACGATCAGCTGATCAGCTTCCTCCAAAATCCGAAAAAAAAAAACACCACAAAGTCACATTCTTATCATTCTTATTTTGTTCAATTTAATGCATTCTTCGTTCAATTTTGTTAGCTTCCCATTTTTGGAAAATCCAACTCCCAATCGACAAAAAAAACAGCACAATTCAAACATATAAAAACTTTCAGCCGCCAGAGGCCTCAGTCTCACCGGAACGGTGGGAGACCATGACGCCCCAACCAGCGAACTGCGACATGGACGCCGCCTCAATGGCCTGACACGCGACGACTCCGCACAGATCAAGCAATTCTGGATAAGAAGGATATATATACACCATTATATTTATAGTTTTTGTAGGGTTATACACCATGATCGTAGATGGATAATGGATTAATTATTAATCCATTATCCATCTACGATCATTGTGTATAACATTGTATAACCCTACAAAAACTATCAAAATGCCTCCAATAAACAACGGTGATTCGACACACCAATTCACCATTCACAATGAGAAGACTAAACCACGGGGGGTGATGGGGTAGCAGGAAAACATGTGGAATATTCCGATGGGGGATCCAGCGCCGAAAATAACAAGGATGTGCGGCCCATGGGAGTTCGATGAAAAAGAGAGAATATTGTCATTAGATGTCATTGGTCATAACAGAGAAGCCCACCTATTTGACAGTAGACATTTTCCTGTAGTCTCAACACCACTTTTTTGTCTTACTTTTTTTGTCCTTTTTCTGGAACCATCCAAGAGTTCACCTGCCAAAACCGTGAGACTGTGCCAACCCCGGAAGGCCGCCTCGGTCACGGAACCGATCTGGTTCACCTGGCAGGTGGCCATGAAAAGATGATTTATTCCGCAGTTACACATGGGATAATGAAATATAATGAAAACATATCGAAATCACAAAAATGCGGGGTACTTAAAGAGCCAGGTTTATGACGGCTAATTAAGCACTGACTGGCTGAGATAGTTGTGGAAGCAGATGCATCCTGCCTCCCATACCTGGTTTTTCATTGGTTTTGCATGTTTCCGATTACCTCCAGCTTTCAAACTATCACCAGGAATGGTCTCAACGTCTTGAGGACGTTTCCCTTAGGTCCTTCAACATGTCGTTCCAGAGGCGGGGTTCACAATGGTCCATAGTTTCTTGATAGATCAGTCCCTCACATCATCCGCTTGGTGCAGGTATGGTGTTAGATAGTGTTGGATGGTGTTGGTATCAAGCTGTCATCCTCAAGTGGATAGAGAAGATATCCCCGCTTACATCCAATTTGGCACTTGTTCTCAGAGGTCAACTGGGAATGGCTGAAAACCGCCCACCCCCAAAATGCATGTCCGCAATGCCCAAGATCTCACCCTTTTTTTTCACGTGTCATCCCCGCATCCCCGCCTAAAGCTCCCTAGGTCATAAAATGCCATTAACCCGTTTGCTTGATGAATGGGAGAAACATGATCATGATCCGATCTCTGGAGAGACATCCAAGTCTTTGTCCAACGAGCCATGCCTAAACCCACTGGTACCGTCAATGCAAAAAATTACCTAATCTAGTCCACTCAAAACACTCCCATCCAGCATGGTAGCAAAAGCCCATGCAATCATAGTCCGTTCTTGCTCTCTTTTTTCGAAAAAAATATCGTTTTTGCTGCTTGACCCCCATTTCCTATATTTCTGGTTGACATCCTGCTTACATGGCTTACATCCAGACGCTGAGGCTTTACCATCAAACAACGCTCGCATGAAACGAACAGGCGTTCCCACATCATGGACCATAAGAAAGCCCACAGCAGAACCAGCATATCATGTCGGTCAATATGTTATATGAGCCAAACATATAATCTAAGAACCAATTATTCATATTCTTACTAGATTATACATAATTATACTATATGTACTATATTATACTATATTAGCAGATGTGTTGGTTAATCCCACAGCAGTTTTCATAGGCTTTCATGGTGTCCTTTCCATTTTCATGCTTTTTATGATACAATCACTGTCTTCTAATCTTCTAGGTATCCCAAAGCATCCCACAGCATCCCACATCCTAAGGCCGGACCCCACCTTCAGCAGTAGGGCATTGCATGCCTTGCAATCCAAGGCCTTCTGGACCTGGGACAATGGGAAAAATGGGAAGCCACTCCAAAGTGTCAGGAAACCATGGATTTTCATGGTTTTTCATGGATTCTGATTTTCCCAGAATAAAATAGAGAGGGGCTTCTTAAACTTCCCCTTCGCCCAATTGTGGGACAATGGAAATTCTCAGGCAGCAAAGATGATGTTGTTATCAAAAGAGGGAAGTACTACCGGGTTTGTCAAAGATTCCAGCAACAAAATGGACAATTGATTGATGACTATCTTCGGCTGATGAGTTACATTGGTGGTTATACTTGCCAAGAATAATAACAGTATCACTGTTCAATGGTCACCAACTAGTCATTGGTTTGTAATAGTGTCTACTGATATGCTTTCTAGTTAGTGCCTACTGTACTGTCAGGTATCTGCAAGTTTCTCGACGATTTTGCTCTCAGCACATGACTGAGATCTATGGGCATCTGAATCCTGCCAATCTTGTACCTTGCGTTTTACAACCGGGAATTGACCTGAATAGATTATACTGATACTGGATGAGATGTTGACTCGACTTCCCCAATTTTGGGACGTTTTATCTTGCTGCATCTCCAAGTTTCATTTTCAACGAATCTTAAATTTCCAGGCCGTACCCTGCCCCAATCTAATCATTCATATCAGCAGTCCCGAACAATGCCGAACTACTAGCTATCACTGACCTTTCAGCCCAAGTTTCCCAGTGCAACAAACATGTAAGGATTAAAGCAAGATAAACTAGTCATCTAACCTATGAGTGGTACAGCAATGGTTTCGCAATGGTATGTAATTCATATTAAGGTTTGCGTTTCCTGGGGTCCCCGTGCTGACTGGGTGACTTGGTCAAATTTCCGGGGTCCCCAGCACGTTTCGGGTTGGTAACCAGCAAATCGTCTCCTGAGCTTGGCATAGCTTGGCGTCCCGGGGGGAAGGCACCGTATGGATCGGTGAACCTTGTGATAAACCGTCTTCTGAGTCTTCTGGCAGCTTTATGGGTGAACAAATTTTAAAGTCTATCGTTTATTCGTTTATCATAGGAAACTTGCTTGTTTGGTAGGCCTTTCAGATTTCACAATGTGTTCGCCTGCGTTGTGCACAATCCCGCCTGTCATGAACCCGTTGCACATGGTACACTCATTTTCTCCATGAATATGATGGTCGTAATACCAATTTTTCCATTACTTGAATCATCCGTGTAGATGCAAGCCCCATATGCATGTTAAGTAGAGTAGTCGAAATCATTAATAAATGTGTAGACCAAATATCAATCTTATCCTCAGTCACAATATACCCATTTCTTTGTGGATGACATATGACAGTAGACATCATGATCCTACGGCAGTTTAACGCTGGGGTACAATCAACAAACAACTTTGTTCTGTCGCTGTTATTGATTGATGGTGCCACACCCTTACATTCATTTTAAGATATCCCATTGTTGATAGTTTCGTGCCCATTCTTGATGAATGGTTCTGTCCACAGTCTTCCAGGTTAAGTCCCAAGTTATTCTTACAAACCGATCACGTGCCACTATTTTGAGACATGTTAGTGTTTCTCTCAGTTCTTTTCGTTATGTCCAAATTAGTCTGGATCATACGATGTTATAGAGTAGTTATACAGCTATTACTGAGCTATTATCTTAGTTGGATGTGTCGCCAGTATCTGAGATGGCCATCTTGATTGGTCATCACATGTACCGTTGCTGCTACTAGTTGTCACTGGTTGGAATGAATACCAACGGGACCCAAATCACGTCGAAGTGAGCAGTTTCCAAAATTCCAACGGATCTGAATGGATCTGAACGGATCTGAATGGCCTGATGGGGATTCTCAACATTCTCATGGATTCTCGACGAGCCCGTGATGGCTCCAAGATGCTCCAAGTAAATTGTAGTTGGTCCGCGAGCAAACGCCTATCGTCTTAGACATCGCCACATGGTGCTCGATCTGCTCACAAGCGGGACAGTATGGTACAATGATGTAGATATATCATATATCTACATACCAATCTTGTTGGCAGGTTATCAATCAAGGACCATCATTCTGCATTCTGGGGTCTTTCAGGTTCAATATCCTTTGTTTCTAGTAAAACATCACGCATCCAATACGTGCCACTTACTTCCCCATGTCTAGTTGGTTGCATAAGTCAAATCCCCGTGTCATAGCATTTGATGGCTACTTATATCCTCCCAACAAACGTGGTAGTCATGGTTTCATTGCCACCAAGAGACCAACGATCCTCAGTGGGCGAAGCAACTGGACTTTCACTGGATCACAGGCAATCAGAATGGCTGAAGACATAGCCAGCAAGAAAGCAGCAAGCGGGATACCGGGTAAAGCGGGAGCTTAAGCAGCAGTTGGGACTGAAGCATCCAAAATGAAGGTTCACGCCCTGTGCAACTGGAATCAAAATAATTCGACAAGAATCAACGTTGATTTGACCAGGAAACATGTCATGATATCCAGCAAACAAGGTGGGACCCCAAAAGCTGAACAGCGGGAATCCAAACATGTCATGAAGCATCACAAGAATCAGGAGAAATCCAAGATCGAAGCGGAGTGGAAACTGATACATCTTTGAAGCCATCAACTAGAGAAAGATCTATCTACCTGTCTATCCATCTGTCCATCCATCTATCCGTACATTCTATATCTATCCAATCTACATGAATTTAAGTCTGTGCAAACTTTCCGAGCCTAAATCTATCTATGTTTGATGGCGGTATGTGGACTAACTACATATATCATTTGGATTTCTCTGGCTTCCATATTAGAGGCAACTTGGAATGGCATAACCAGACCCTACAAGTATGAGAAAACACAGCTTTGAAACCAGCTGTCAATTCGAATTCATACAGCTTTGCTTGCTCGGGTGTCTTCACTTGTCCCAACTCATCCGAGTATTTTTCACGGCACAGTTGATAGATTCCACGAATGTCATGCCACATTGGCTTCTTGATAACATGCTTGGCAAGTCTCATGCGAAACACCGTACCGTTTCAAATCATCATAGAACAAGCGTTGGGCCTCTGTATAGACAGGACCATCAATTTCATCCACCCACCCATCCAGTATTGAGGTATCGTATTCGCGTGTGTTTCCGGTGGCTCTGTCAGTCGGCCGTGTATCCAGAAATTCCAAGTTGCGGCAGGGCCCTCCAAATTTGGTATGAAAGAGGCATACAGACAGGTCCCACTCTTCCTGCAAACCTACAAATGCAAAGCCTTCTCTCAATCTTTGCAGCGCCACTGGGACATCTGCTAAGGTAGCTGGAAGATGGCCGACGATCTGCCCTGTCTCCCAGTGAGCCAATTTGGATTTAAACTCATCCAGTGACAAGATTCGTTCAGGTGTGCGATTTTCACAGGGGCTGATAAAGGGCTCTGCTCGGAACAGGTCATAATCATCATTGTAGGCAGATAGCAAACGCTGCTCGGGTTGACGTAGAAGTGCCACAAATTTGCCCTTGTATTCCTCGTACTTCTCATCTGACAAAAACTGATGAGATTGTATTGGCCAATTACAATGAATAAGACTCTGATCACACCACCGCAGGCAGTTCTTCTGCATGGTAATCTCGAAGCACTTTCCGAACTGCTCATCATCGATACCTTGGAAGCGAATCGTCGCTCGAAAAAAAGGTCTTGGGCAGTCTTAAACTATCGGATCATATCGGATCATCCTTCAGCCGCTGGGTCTTGTTTTGGGGAGTTTTGAACCCCACTACACCCGACTATACCGGCATACATCTAGCTACAGCAATGAACAGGCAGAAGTAGTTAGAAATAAGTTAGAAACCAAATGCAGAAATAAACAATTTCATGAAGATTCATCCAGAAACTCAAATTCTCCCCCAAACCCGGGCACATGTTCGGCATATGCATTATTGTATTGGCGAAGCTGGTGCCGCACTTTGGGATGTGCAGCCAGAACATGGGCGAAGCTTTCAGACGTCGCATCAGGGGAGTTTCGATCTCCAAATGTCGCTGCAGGAAAGCCATCTCAGGAACTTCAGCCACATCCCAAACAGCCGAGACAGCAACAACCCACAGCAGAAGAGTGGCGATTTCAAGCCATACGAACATGGAAAATGTGTGATAATATGGAAATACAATGTCAGATAGAGTTTTCTGACATGTCAATCGGAGAGTGACTTGAGCCAGAATGCCAGAGAGTATCACCATCTCTCAAATGAAGATGCAAATGGGTGGAAAACAAAACATATTTTTAAAACCACCAAACAGAACAAAATTCTTCCAATATTAACTTTGCCGCAGTTTGGCTTTCCAGATTTCTTGAAGTGGTCAAACTTTTAGTTGCATGGCCTTGGTCAAACCTCTGAATCCTTGCATTATTTAATCTAAACATTGTGGCATTCCAAAAGGTTGAAATACTCACACGATGCCAAACTATGGAAAGATACAGTAAGTTTTTGGACCCATGATATTCCACCAATATCACAGTGCTAAGTGATTCTAAATGGCCTGTGATGGCGTTTGGTCGGGAAACCGTGCCTTAGAGGGCCTCCCGCGCATCCAAGGCTCTGAATGGAGTCACCGACCTCGGCCTGAAACTTGGAGTAAGCATCCCAATCATCCTGTCGCGTTGCCGGGGCTACAACCTGATATCTGATGTAGATTGATGTAGCATCATCTAACTATGTGCTTTGCAAATCTTTGCAAGACCGCCTTCCAGTTTTACACAGAATGAAAAGTTGCTTCATCAAACTGCACTCAAATAGTGATTCATGGACGGAAGTACCAGTTGCACTCTTACACGATTGGAACAAATCGCAGAATATATAGTATGAAAGCTGTATGTGGCTGGTCTTCCAAATACATCCAAAGTTCAGCATGTATACAACGGAGTGTCCTGAATGGGACATCGGCAAAGCAAAGCTGCTTTCCCACTGCTGATTTGCACCATCTTGATTCATGAAGGCTTCTTGGCTTGCACAAACTGTCACATTTATATCTTTGTGGCTGTATGAGCATACTATAATCCGTCAAAATCAAGAACCTCTACCAAATTACCAAAAGATCTTTCAAAAAATGATCAGGCTCTGCTTGTGGGTATTTGGCCCAAACCTGCGAAATGAGTGTTGAAGATAAACATTATTTCTTCGATTCCCCGATCACTCCTTCGTCCCCACGCCTGATCAAACGGATCCTCAATGGAGACGAAGGGATACTTGCCGATCCAATCCTGGCAGCACTCGGGTCATGTGTCATGTCAGGTGCATGCGTGACATGGTGCAAGCAAAGACACATTAGCTTAGCAAAGAAATCAAAGAAACAAGGCATACCGAAGTTCAACCTGAAAGGCTCCCCGTTCTTGGGATAATGATTAATATGATTTCCACAGAACAAAAAAACATTCCAATGGGTGGTCGAGGTGATCGAGCATTGGAACATTTCCTGGGTTGCTCTTGTGCAAGGTTGAGTAAACTCACTCCCCAATCTTGAATCTTCATGACTTGCCCAATCAACATGGGGGGTAGATGGAAGTATATAGTATGTTAGAAATTGCTTCTCAAGGGATAACGACGTCACAATTTGCTACTCTATCAGCTACAGCAGTGGACGCTTGGTCCCAAGCAAACTCTCTTGCTATGCCCATGATCAGCAAAAAGTGCATGATGTGCATGAAGGTACTCATGCAAGTTGATTGACGGAGAAAAGTATCATAAACCCATCAATCTTGGCTCATGAGGCCTTGTAGTAGGCAATCATCTCCTCTGCAGTCTTCTTCATGCTGTCTGGGCCTGATGGTGCCAACGGTGGGAGTTATGTCACGGTACAAAACTGTGCTGCAGTCTTTGGGGCTTTGACTGTCCGCAGTAAGGCTTCTTTCTCAAACACATTTTTTTGTGAAGTTTGGATAATTTTGGCGAGTATTCTGAGGAACCACTTCTCTACCACGTGATGGTACAGTATTGCACCCATCAGCAGGGAAATTTCCATGAAATTATACCGTCGTTAAGGTCGGGACTAGCCGAAAACCTTTGAACACCCGGGCGGTTCTTGCTCATTTCACTGCATAATGCTAGGCCGTGGGTAGAACAGAAGTTGCAGGGACCTGCAAAGTGTCTTTTGGATTCTTTTCGATAATGTGTGTCTTTTGCTATGTAAAATCCACATTTTTGCACATTAAATCCTGTTCACACATTTTACAAGGTGATCCCAACTCCAAAATCTAGGTAGATATCCCCAGTGTTCAACCTGATCTCGGCTGGGTGTCCAGGTGTCCATACTGCTAGGATTCTTGAAGTCCAAGTCGTACTTCTTGGTCTCAGAGCCTCAGTGCTGGGCAATGTACCAAAGGACTAACGCAGGATATATCACTGACATTTAGCCAATATAAATAGTGATACAGTATGAGCAAAACACACACACACACATCAACACAAAAGTGGGATATAAAGCAGGCCAAATTGGGATGCACATGCAGCATGATGTATTCGGGAAAGGCTGGCTGAAAGCTCTCAAATGCCAAAGTTTCTGAATTTCATCCAATGAGCATGCGGCACCGCCAATATCGGCAACGGACATCACCAGGTCACATCGAGGTCTATGTTGTCCGCAAGTATCATGAGGACCCAAAAAAAGCACCTCTAAATATATCTATTCCATGTAACATCACGGTAACGTCAGAGTCTATCAATGTGCGCCCTGGGCCCTGGCTGTAGAACTCGGAGGCTGCCACGTCGGTGCCAATCTTGACCTGAAGGGCATTTCTGACTTTTGTGGGACTTATATGGACGTGACATGACTATGGGGAATGTAGCCTTTCTACGGGGGATTGTCACCGACAAAAACAGAGATTTAAGCAACAGTAGTCACTCAGTAGAGGATGCAATCAACAGCATTAAAGAAATTCAGTGTCCTGTTCAACATCTCGGGGCAGAATTCACCTGCGCAGTGTCCATGATGTCCATGTGCGTTTTGATCAAAGTACTGGAAGGGCACAGGGACACTGTTCTTCCATTCTTCATGCAAGTTGTCAACACACGACACGAAAAACATTCACCTCCAGCTGGCCCAATTAAATCACAACTGATTTAAGTGTTTTAAAATGTTTTAAAGCCATCCCATGCCATCCCCAAAACATATCAGTCGTTGGGGATCTGAAACCACCAAGGTTTGACTGATTCACATACCTACAATTCTACTCCTTTGCCCGTTGCATCACCCTTTTCACCACCTGAATTCGCCATTCTTATCATTCTTCGTTGAATCATCATGTCTCATCAGTCTAGATGTTTTCCATGGCAAAATCATGTTGAAACTGTTCAATCCTGATTTTTTTCTTTTTTCAGTAAAACCTCCAAACTTCATGGCGATTCAACCGGCGCCTTGCCAGCGTGGCCGGACTTCTCAATGGCCTCCATCAACACATCCAAGGCCTTCCGACGGCAAGTTATAGCCCCGAAATGCCGCAAAACTAGGGATCCTGCTCCTTTGAAGAATGGTGGCTATAAATTAACTGTAAAATATAGTGTTTCATACAATTGTCATACCGAATTTATGTGTATTTTGGGTTGGTTAATCAACGGAAATTGGCTATAACATGCTATAACATGATCAAAGGATCTATAACTCTACAAGAAACACACGGGATGAATAGGGGACTTTGACAAAACAATCAAATGAATGGGTTTGCTACATAGATGGGAGAATCATGGAGAATCTATGATCTTTCACGGAGTTGAACCTGGCCTGGTGATTTAATGTGGTTTAAGCAACAACATCTCTAGTCATTCTAGTCTTCTAGATCTTCTAGCATAGCCGCTAAGCCAATGTGACAACGTCGGTTTGAAAGGTATGGATTTGGATGGCTGACTCAAGCATCTCAAGCTATAAGCAGGATAGGCGTATCCGAACATAACTGGGAAGTTTTTAAACTGCAGATCCCAACTAGGTGGTTGATGGGCTCCAACCAGTTGCCCGCCCATTTTCTGTTCAAAAGATAAAACCCGGCCATACCAGGTATACAACCCATCAAACAAGCCAAGTATTTCAGTCTGTTTTCCTGGAGTTGGCCCCGAGATGTTCCGAACACTTACTGGGGCTTGGCCTCGTTGTTGTCTTGGACGCTTGGTGCAAATCCTCAGCGTCCAACCGACTGGGTTTCAACGTGCCTCTGGATATATTCTTGTTGCCGAAACCCATGTTCTCTAGAACAATAGGATGGATAAATCATGGTAAATCAATTCTGTTTGATGAGCAATTCCAAACTCCCAGTAGTATCACCGACAGTCATTCTCTCGTGGCAGTTGTTGAAATCCCTCCAAGGGTGCAGCCACCCTCGTCGCCCACGTTGCAGGCATCCTGGCAGTGCGCTGTGATAGAGGGCATCATCATCATCTATACCATGAACCCAAATCATCGAGAATCATGAAGAATAATTCCAAACATATCTGCAAATATCCTCTGAAGATATCTTTACAAGCTGGCAACACAAAATGGAGCTACAACAAAACAAATCGGTTGGCTCCCATGCTTTCCTTGGTGGAATAGGTGAAATTTCCCATATGTTTCATGGTCATTCCGTGACCCTTCGGAAAGATCTTCCCCTTCTCACGGGGTCGAGTCGGCCACAGACCTGGCCATACTTCTTCTTGATGACGCTCTTCAGGTTGTGGTAGACCTGTCGGACACATGACGGAGCTCCTGTGATGCTATTGGGTCTGATTCCTTTTTCCCGCCTATCTGCCCAATACTTGGGAACACTTAGTGGGTACATGTTCAACATGGTGCCAAGGATCTAAAGTGATTGAAATGATCTAACATGTTTTAAATGATCGAAACCATCTGAACCTCTACCGTTTCTCTAAATGATATACATCGATATACACATTCTAACAGATTCTAACATTCTGTTTAACGAAGTCACCGTGTGCTGCGATTTTCGTCAGTGTCCCCAGTGACCTCGGCACCGATGCACATGGCTTCACGGAAGCTGGAGGCGCCCACGGGCAGAATCATAAACTCCTCAGCTCTCACGGAAGCTGCACTAAGCCATGTAAGCCGCCCAAATCTAAGAGGAAAACTCCAAAAAATCTCTAAAAACACGCGGAATAAGAGTTTGATGAGAGTCTTAAGAGTTTGATGTGAGTTTGATCTTGAGGAATGATGATGTGAAATGATGATGTGAAATGATGTTTATGGGTTTATGGGAGAAGCCAACACTACTGGTAACAACTTTTGGGAGATTTGAAACCAACAAAATGAGGTGAACCGTACTGGACATGGGTACTTAAACCAAGCAAATTCCATCAACAACATGTTGGCAAAACAAACCATGGTGATGCAATACAATCTTGGGCGGATAACTAGTGACTGGTAGTGACATGTTATTTAAATATATTTAAATTACAACGCATAATCATTCTGTTAAGGACTTGCTAACTGCGACCATGCAGGTGGTGCACCTGGCACGCCAGACGATTTCCAGCATGGCTACCTCCGTTGATGACCTCAGGAGTCACACTCCTACAGTGCGGTCAGGGTACATGTGAGTCATGTGACCCAGGAAATGCAAGATTTCAGCAGATTTCACATGATTTCACTACATTTATGTAACTTAAATCTGATTTAGTTTGTGTGTTCGGATTGAACACCTGCCATGGTGAAGTGGATTTCCAAGGATGATGTGGCTGCACAAAAACTACCGGGTAGGTTAACTTTCCAGGTACACTGTTGTGGAAGCATGTTGGGAATGTTCAGCAAGAAAACTGGGTCTCCACCTTTATCACAACCACTTACAACTTAAAACTTAGAAGAGCATCACCCTTAGCAACTGTTAGTCACCATGGCTAGGTCCTGCAAGTGATTCAAGCCCCCAAGATCTTCAAGAGTTGCACGGAGTTACATTCAATTGCCGTGCCTCATCATTGGGGGATATGATGTGCGTAAAATGCCACATGAGCCAAATTATAGCATACTAATGCATACTAATGCATACTATAGATTTATCGCATATTGCCTTGATTTCCAACCATGCCCCAGCATCGGATCATCCAACAACCCCAACCATTGGGCGATCCCTTGTCAACTTGTGCCACCGGACGTTGAAGGATGGCACGGGCATCACGAAGCTGTCGTATGGTTTGCCGGAGATCCTGAGTCGAGGATCATTCTCCCAGAGCTGGAAAACACCAACATGTTTGAAACATTTTGTGAAAGATTTTGAAACCAACCAGTCTTTTCCAGCAATGTGGCTAAAAAAGAAAAGACAAGGGCACCAAGACCCACAAAATATTGATGATGGATGAGGCACGATGAGGTTATCTCTGGCAACTTTGACTTTCACTTGATGTGGCCATGGCTTTCCCCAGCCTCGCGATGTACTTGTAAAGTGGCATTCTGCTAGCAGCAGCGCCTGCGTATGGGATCGACAGGGGTCTGGTTCTGCCAGGCTTTGTGAACGACCCTGTCGACTGGTTCAACCCCCGTGGTTGGATCAACCAGTTTTATTTTAGGTTTCTCAATAGCCATTTGATCACCCGAGTCTCGCGCCTGCTCGGCAAACAGCCATAGACACAGCCTCAAAACACACATGGAACACGTGTGGCCAAAGATGGGCATTGAAAGTAAGCAAAAGACCAACTGGCGAGATACTTTGATGATGATATCTGCTTTGCGCAGGTCTCCTCTGTTTCCGTTTCCCTCGCACCTTGCAACTTTTCCTTCTCGGGGTTGTGCTCGGCTTGAGTTAGAAAAAGCAGCTACAGAAAATCGGCAAATGTGAAATCTGCAGCAAGTCAAAATGCCTGACAGGTATGGTCAAAATGGAATGCATTCTGCACTCCTCCCTTGGGATATCGTGAGGTCATCCCAAGATTCAGGCTCAAGCTGCTTCTATTGTGCAAATAAAAGGAAAAAGATCTAACCTGCGCTCTCACCACATCCTTGGCATGCTGGAAACATCTTTTCTGGATCGCAGCGTGGGCATCTTGAATCCACGTGATAATCTCCACCCCAGTGATCAATCCAAAGTGGAACTCCTGGTGGTGGGGGTCCACGCGTTTGAGCGGTAATGGCCCAGCAAATGCGACACCAGGCAGATTCTCGATTGGCTCCTGTCTGGACAGACGACAGGTACCTGCACTGGCTCTGATAGTGATAAACTCGGCCATACCGAGTGGTCAAAACTTGGAAAGCTGCTCTAGCTCTTTCCTCGCTGTTCTCATAGTTCTGGAATCTTTCTGGATTTCTCTGTGCTTCCTCGTAGAGGTTGGTTTCTTCATCTGCTATCTCCTGCATGACTCGATCCAAGTCGAACCCAGGGATGTGGCGCTCATCTAATGGACGATACGGAGTGTCCTCTGATGAAGAGGTTGAATCTTCAAGTGGCGAAGAAGACCCTTCGCCTGGTGGGAGGTACGTGGGTCGCTGCGGCGTGTGATCTGCCACAGCGGCCATCCCTTCACCACCCGGTGGGAGGTACGTGGGTCGCTGTGACAGTTGTCCTGCCACAGCGGCCATCCCTTCACCACCATTTTCCTTTTCTTCTTCTTCTCTTTGAGCAGCAGCACCTGCAGGGAGACTTCGGGAAGACGATCCAGCTTGGTTTGACCAAGACATTTCCAGCCTCCTTACTCCTACCTTCCACAAATGCTGGCTCACGATCGTGAGAAGCACGATGATCAACGCAAAAACGACCATCATGACTTTGAGCTCGAGGGTTGAATTTTCCTGATCTTCTTTTTCTGTTTCTTCATATTCTCCTTTGGCAGCTGAGATCGCAGCAGCCAATGTGAGCAGCTTCAATGCTGCTGCTGCTTTCTGAATGCCTACGCCTTCTCCTTTTTCTTCAAAAACCTTCTCTTCTTTCTTCTCATGCTCTTTCGGTTGTGGTACTTGAACCAGGTTCATCTCCTTCTTCAAGTACCTGATTCTTTCTGAAGCTAATGGCTTGGTGCCAATGTCAGCGATCATTTGATTTCCCGCGACATGTTGAAGAAACCAGGTGCCCTGCAAGATTGAACTCCTGGCAGCTGATGCTCTCAGTCGCAAATGACGTGTGCGCCATGATCCTCCGTCAGTGGTCAAAATTGATTGGGCAGACTGAGAATCTGTCCAAGATTTTCGCTGCAGAGGGCCAAACAGCTCATCAGCTATGGCACCAATTGATTCTCCAGCCACCATGCTCTCCACAATCTCCATCATCTCCGCTTCTGCTGTGCTGAGCGTCACAAAACTTTGACGACCACTTCGCCAAAAAACAGGGCAAGAAGCTACCATGATGATGAAGGCTCCGTGGCTGACATCTCCTTCAGGTGCAAAACTGGCGTCTGACATGGCCTCAATCATCAAGGTCTCTGCTCCAGCAGCATCAAAGCAGATGCCTTCATCCATAGTGCTTTTGAGATACCCCTTGATCTGCTGGTAGATCTGGAGGACCTTCTGAGGGGCCTTCGTGACGCAAGAGCCCATCTTTGAAACGGCATACATGAGGTCCAAGCGGGTGCGTGTCACCAGCCAGAGCATCTCACCGGTGGCTTTCTGAGCTGAACGAATCAGCTCTGGTGTTCTTCCTTCTTCCTCTGGAAGTTGACTCTGATCTTTTGTGATTGGGATCTTTCTGTCTGGAGCTTCTTGATCTTGCGCAAGAAGGTCCTTGATGTAGGACTGTTGGTTGACATACCAAACGTCGCGATTCTTGGTGACATCAAAGGTCTTTGAGATCTCGACGCCTAGGAATCGTATAGGCTTTTCTCCTACTTGATCTGGTTCTGAGGTGGTCCAGATAGTTCTGATCTTTTCCATGACGGCATCTACCACCTTTCGACTTCCAGTGACCAAGATGTCATCGACATATGTCATCAAGAGCCCTTTCAATGGCAGCGGAGCAAAGTTCGACTGAGTGTCAGACTCAGCTTCACTCTCCTCAGCTTCAATCCTCCACAAGTTTGGCTCTGATGCCAGAGGGCAGAGTCGGAGTGATGTCATCTGACCTTCTTCCTCCTCCACTTCCAGTTTCATGACTTCCAATTCATCATCTCTGCAATCACCCCAGAGCTTTGGTGATCGGCGAAGTCCATAGACCGCGCGCTTGGGCATGTAGTATGTTCCTGGCTTCATGTACTTCTTTTCCAAAAGCAGCATAGGAGGTTTGACCAGCAACAAGCTTGGCTGGTCTTCAGGGCACATGGTGGCATTCAGGAAGGCTGTTTTGATGTCAATGGTCCCAGCCTCCCATTGGAATTTTGATGCCGCAACGATCAGAAGGCGCAGTGCAGAGGCATCTGCACCAGAGCTAAACGTGTTCTCTCCCTCTTTGACCTGCTCGAAGTTTCCACAGATGACCCATCGAATCTTGTTGCGGCCACCTCTTTTTCCTGGCTTCTTTGTGCAGACCAACTTTGATGGGAGAAACTCCACTGGTATGCCCCTTTTTTCTGCATCCTTCAAGAGCTCCTCCAACCTTTCTCCACTTACCTCCTCGAAGGCTTCCTTCTCTTCTAACAGTGACGTGACTTCAGCATCCACTGCCGGAAGCCAACCATTCCAGTTCTTTGAGACCTCAAGAAGGGAGATGATTTTCGTTTGGAGGACTTCATCATCTTCGCCCTTCTCTTGAGAGTCAAGCATCTTTTTGAGCTTGGCCAAGATGTCAATCTCTTCTGTGATCATTTCAGGAGAATCATCCAACATCGCCTTAGTCTCCTCCTCGACCATTCTTGTAAACCTGTTCCTCATCTTTGCCAATCTCACAGCCTCATCCTCACCTTCTTCTTTCTCCTCCATTTTCAACCTACGCACTGTAGTCTTTTCTCGAAGCCTTCGTCTTTTTGTGAGAGCATCCAAGACCTCCCTTTCGATGGCTACTGTAGCCACACTCCTTCTTCAGGTCGTTCTATGGCTTTCTGCATGTAGCATCGAGTGACTCTCGGTGCTTCATCGTTCACCTTGATCCAATGGCCATTGTCCTCGGGTGCAGGTCCGAGGTATCTTGCAACTTCCACCATAGGCTCAAACGCCTGTTTCTTCCACCTCCTCCTCCTCACCAAGACTTCTTGAAGAAAGCGGGGGAACTCTGGCTTCTTATCCAGCCTTTGGCACCTGTAGATCTCGTTCAGGTATCGAAGTGCCCAAGGCCACCATGAAGAGTCTACTCCTGCATGAAGTAGAATCCTTCTCAGCTGGTTTTTCACTGACTTGACCGTAACCTCAGCACGGCCGTTGGCCTTTGGATCATCGCCCGATGTTCTTGTCAAAAGAATGCCTCGAGACCTCATCCATGTTTCAAATGACCCAAGGAATTCGTGGCCTCTGTCGCTGTGGATACGATTCACATGATATCCATCAATCTTCAGTTTGAGAACCATCTCCATCGCTACTCTTGTGACTTCCCTCGCCTTCTTTGACCTCAGAGGGAGCGCCATCTTGAAGACTCTGATTTCATAGTCTTTATCTTCGCTTTGAGGACCATCTTCTGCTTCTTGTTGACCATCTTGATCTTTATCTCCTCTTTCTTTCTCTTCTTCTCCTCCTGAATCTTCAAGACGGGACTCCTCAGGAAGTTCTGCACCTCTTGGCAAGAGGCCATCAGGAGCCTGTTCATCAGCTTCCTGGTCATCACCTTCAGGCTCCTCGGCAAAAAGATCAAGCACTGGTGCCTCTTCAAGACCACCTTCTTCTTCGGGTTGACCTATCATCTTTTCTGTGCCCTTTGGAACCATGTATGTGTAAGCACCAGCCAAAAAATATCGACACTTCCAGCCACCAACATCGCTTGATGGTAAAAGAGGCCCACATGTGTCAAGAGCAAGAACTCCTGTTTGTGGATGTTTGTTTCGTCGATGAGGAAGGATCTGTTGGGAGGATTGCAGGCAAACAGGACAGTCACGGCGATATGGAACATGACCGAAAGCAACATGCTCTTCATAGGTGAGAGCCCTGAGTTGCGGTGTCCCCTTGAACACCTGAGTTATGACCGCTTCGCTGACAGCGTTCATCAGTCCAGGTGCCCATCTTTCCAACTGTTTTGAGCTTTCCACAGGTTGCGCAGGTAGAAGAAGACCCATCTTGTGATCCTCCAAGCACAAATCAAACGTAGTGCCCAAAGTGGTGGGTTTTGTTGCCATACCTCCAAGACATCCCTGATTGAAAGTGACCTCCTTCAACTGAAACTCCTTTCTCAAATCATGCCACTCAGTGGTGTCCCAAAACGACACAGCTGCAGGTTGATAAGTCTTTGGAGATGCAGGTTGTTCCAACGCAAAGTGAACAGGATCTGGTCGCAACTGTGCCTTGCGGACATACTCTGAAATCATTTACAAGAAAATCATTCGCCAAAGAAGAGTGTCATCTTCTTGAATCATCTTTTCTTCTTTCTTGTTGATCCAGTGTGCTCCAAATTCCCCTCCCTCCCAGCAACGCACTGGACGGGGGGCCCATGGTTGGCCTTCAATTGGTCGATGTCGGAGCACACTTCGACTTCTGCAGTTCGGGCCACCCAAGACAGCCAGAATCTTTCCTGAAAGCGCAGCTCGCAAGAGAGTGGCATAGATCCCTTCGTCAGCAAGCATATCATACGCTTGCCCCTTCTTTACATCCACTTCCAAAAGCCTCCTTGTCTTACTGCCTTGACACCTCATAGATCGCTGAAGTGTGTGACCTGAGTCCTCTCCAGAGTACAAGTGCAGTGCAAATCCCTCAGTTTTCAACGTTCGTCGCTGACGTCGATTCAAAGGCAAAGATTCCCATTCTCCCGGCTGGACCACAAGCTTCTTTTGGAGCCAGTCAGGAAGACGAGACAAAACTGGGTGAGCTTGTAGAAGCCTTCTCATCCATCCAAGCTCTTCTTCTATGTCTAGGCGATTCAATGAGACGCCTTTGTTGCAGTCTTCGATCTCAGAGATTAGCTCCAATGCCAACTTCCTTGGAATCTGTGGACAACCTCCACAGTCTTCAACTGGTAAAAGACCTCGGATTGGATGTTGGACTTGAAGAGCTCCCTTCGACCACGACACCACACAGCCTAGGGCATCGATCAAAGAACCCATAGGCACAATCGGCTCAATGTTCTGGTCTGAGGTGATCATGGAGCCACCTGGGGACATGTGCAACTGAATGGACTTGCCATCTGCCAAAGTGACAGAAACTTCTTTCAACTTGTGGGTGTCCTCTTCTTCTCTTGATGGACGCAACGCATGAGTGGCCCCACTGTCAATGAGACCTCGACCCAGACCAGCGCCAATGCGCCCAAGCTTGAAGACCTTCAGGGAATTGAGCTGAGCCTGAAGGCGTGACAGCATTTCACTTCGGCTGTCTTCATCTCTGTTTGATGCCGAAGAGGAATTGGGAGATGAAGTCGAGTGAGATGTGAGTGATCTGAGCATCTTGTTGGCTTCTTCAATCAGCCCCTTCATCGTCTCAGACTCTTCCTTTGTCTCCTCACCTGTCTTTACTTCACCTGTCTTCACTCCTTCTTCAACTTTTGCGCCCTTCTGCTTCGGAGGCGATCCCTCACCTGTTCCCTTTCGTGGACATGCAGGAGCCAAGTGTTCTTCCGCACCACAGACGTAGCATCGCCTTTTTCCGTCTTTTCAGTGTGAGAGAACTTGCAATCACGGCCCTTTCTGCAGCCTTCTGGAGTCAGGTAGAACTTGCACTTGACAACCTTCTGACGTTCTCCTCTATCTTCTTCTGCTGTCTTCTCTCTACCTTTACCTTTTCCTTTTGCATCCTCCTTCTCATACTCCATCATCTTCACTTTCGGTTCAACCTTGGCGTTGTTGGGGACGGTCTTCTTCTCCATTTGCGACAACTGCTCGCACTCAGAGAGGAGGTGCATTGCAAACTGCGTCACGCTCTCCAAGGTCGGCACCGTATCTATGCCTAACCCATGACGTGCAAGCGACACTCGAAATTGTAGTTCTCGATTTGTTTCCAAAACCTTCTTTGTCATCCTCAAAAGCCCACGAACAAGAAGAGCAGGATCAGGCGTGATCGCTCCGATTTCGGTGGCCCTCTGACGCCACCTGATCCACTTTCTCAAAGCCATTGGAGCATCTCCCAATGTTTGGACTTCCGCAGGATCCTCAAGGTTTTTCAGGAGGTTCTGTTTTTCGGAGATACCACCTGGACAGTAGATCACATAGAGGTGTGTGATGATGGAGAACACACTCATCCTTCTGGTGGACACAAGCTCTTCACGAACTTGTTCAGGCATCGCTTGAAGCATCATCGTGGACATGCGTCGCTCCAATCGCTGCCATTTTTCCTGTGTCAAAGAAGGTGGAGTTCCATGTCCATGTTGGAGACGTTCAAGAGGTGACATCTTCATATGAGACTGATACCAACCCTCGGCCTCTTTGAGAATGGTCTTCCACCAGGTTTCAGCAGTTGCAGTCAAATCTGAAACCACCGGTTCGATGAGCAGCAGCCAATCGCTCAATTGAAGTGGCGATTGATTCGACGACCAAGCAGGCAAAGGAGGTAATTCTTGAGCACCAGATCGAACTACCTCAATCCCTCTGATTGATCCTCCTTCTTCTCGGTCATCTTGATACTTGCGCTGCAGCTCTTTCATATTTTCCATCATCAGACACATAAACTCAAGTGACTTTTCTGTAAATCCAGCAGCTCCTGTCTCGGCTGATGGACGTTCTCCTCCTGGTTGTTGTGCTTCACCAGACATTCCTTCAGGGGGTCTAGCGGCCTCCTTTGGTGCACTTGCTGGGGGTCTTGCAGCCTCCTTCTGA